CATGCAAACATGCAATTTTGATTTCCTATTGCAGAGGGTTTATTTCTGATTATTTCACATTTGAGTTGCTCACTGGTCTGCTTGGAGCCGGACTACCCAGGGACTATTTTAGGGGAAATTTGCTGTGCATATTAGTGTTCTGCTTGGGGAATGCTCCCCAAACCCATGTTTTAAAACCACCTCATTGGGAGCTAGGTTTGGGGCATAGTTGGGAGACTATTTCTCCTTATATGAGATGAAACTAAAGGATGGATTTGGATATGGTGAAGCAATGGCAGCTAAGAAGTCTATATATCTGTATGCAATTTCTTTTGATATAACACATATTGTATACCATCTTCACTAATACATACATGTTCTCACACACTTTGCCCAAGTCTGTGCATTCACTCTTTTTCTTTTATTGGACACCTGGATGGAAACCTTGGTGGCAAAATTCAGAGAAATGCAAATTTCAAAATGAAGGCTGAATTTCAGATCAGACAGATTCACCTTTCAAGGCTGGATTTCTCCGGACTACCCCTCATGCATAGCTCTTAGTGGCTTCCGTTAAGTTCTGTGGGACAAAGTTTAATGGGCTACAGCAAGCTGAGGGAGCAAGCCAGGCCCAGGAACATTTTGTACCCTTCATTGAGAGGAGGGTGCAAGAGGGCAGAAAGCAACCCTTCCTGGGAAGCTCCCTGTATAGTTTTTAGGGTTTCACCCATGTCCCTCCGCTGCTGTTGCCATGACACCTGCTCCCTTCAGCTAAAATACCCCACCGGGGTGGAGCTGGGGGGGAGAGAGAAGGAGTCGCACTGCTCATAAATTAAGGACGCAGCAGGGGATGGGAGGAGGAGGCAGAAGTCGTGTTTATCTGCCAAGGGACGCCATATCCTCCTTGCCACCGAATGCGAGAGTCAGTAAAAGGCTCTTTTCCCAGCTGCCACTGGGACCGGCCTGTCCCCGGGGCCTGTGAATGGCTGATGAAACCCAGGATAGGGCCTGCAGGGATGGCGGCCGCCTCTGCCTCCCCCTCCTCCTTGGTTATTTAAAAGGCAGGTCAGGTTTCTCAATCTGGCAGGCGTGCAAAATGCTAGGGGGGGGGCTGGCGGAGAGGAAGAGGGAGACTGCAGCTCTTAAAATAGAAACATTTCCTCCCTCCTTTCTCTCTCTAACACACACACACACATTCCCTGCATATTAGCCGACCCTTTCTCTAGACAGATTTTCCCTTCCACTTTTTTCACCTACCTCCCCCCTCCTCACCCGCCTTAGGTTCAAGATGGTTCCTCTTCCTCACTGTCCTTTTATCACTCAACGACTGGGCTGGATTAATCATTATGCTAAGTAACCTACAGAGCAGGGCTCCCACCTAATTAGGGTCCCTGCCAGGATCTGATTACAGGCAGTCCAACTGTCTGCCCTTGTTTACTAGGGGACAGGTCGAGTTTTCTGGTACCTGCTCGTGTGTGTGTGCGCGCACGCGCATGATCTTAGGGGTCCTGCACAAAAATGCGAGCACATACATATGTCAGCCAGAATTCTTTAGGCTTCATTCTCTCCCCCTCCCCAATCTTTTAGATCAGGGATGAGAAAGCTGTGGCCTTCCAGGTGCCTTGCTTTGACCATTGGCTAAGCTGGCTGGAGCTGATGGGAGATGCAAGTCCAGCAGCATCTGGAGGGACCATCTATAGTGCCCATCTCTATGGCAGGTGATGAATCTCTGCACTTTGACTCTAGCACACAGGCATCTGAAGCAAGGTACACATTGCCCCTCCTCCACCGCCACCCTCTATCAGTGCCTATCCCGACACTGGATGTGACAAGCTTTTCCAAAAAAGTGCAACCTTACTCAGGTCCATTCTGAGATAAAACATTAAACAAGTGGGAGTCAGTGCGTGGCCGTGGCTGGACAGTCTGACTACAACCTGAGAGGCCAGGGTTCAAATCCCCAAGAAGCGTACTTGGTGACCTTGGGGCAGTCCCTGTTCCTGTCTCAGCCTAGCCTACCTCATGGGGCTGCTGGGATAAAACAGAGAGCAAGGGGAATATACCACCTTGAGCTCCTTGGCGGAATATGCAATACCTCAAGGACTGCCTTTCTCCATATGAACCTACCTTGACCCTGAGACCATCCTCTGAGGCCCTTCCTTATGTGCCTCCTCTGTAAGAGGTCTGACAACATGAGAACAGGCCTTTTCTGCAGTGGCTCCCCATTAGTGGAATGCTCTCCCCAGGGAGGCTCACCTGATGCCTTCATTATACACCTTTAGGTGCCAAGCAAAAATGTTCCTATTCAACCAGGCCTTTGACTGATTGACATCTTATACCCCTTTTAAATGTGTTTGTAGGAGGGGGTAGCAGGGAGGGTGTGTGTGACTAGTTTGTGTTTTTTTGTTCTTGTTTTTATCATGTATTTTGTATTTTTCTGTTGTGTACCGCCCTGAGATCTGTGGACGAAGGCCAGTTTACAAAAGTAATAAATAACAATAAAGGAAACTAAAGCAAAAGGTTGCAGTGTGTGGAGTGTTCCTGTTCACAGTTCCAGTCAGACAACCATGGCCTCCCTTACAATACTGTTTGATTTCTTCTACCCCCCTTCACCCCACCCCTTGAGTTTTCCATTTTTTCCCTAGTAAATTAGCATTGTGTGCTCATTTGGTATGCTTAGTCTGCACTGAACTTTTTTCTTTTTTAGCTACTACCCATTTTGGATCCCCCCTCCCCTAAATATTTTTTGTACTTCTGAAAACCTTAGGGCTTCCTCAAGCCTGCTAACACCTCTCTCTGGTGCATAGGGGGTGCTGTTTTGGCTACATAAGGAATGGCACTCACACCTTGAACTAGAGGGATGATGTGGGTCTTGCAACACAGTGCACAGCTCTGAGTTCCAGAAACACCACCGCAAGTAGTCCATACCCACTGAGCATGCTCAACATTCACTGGGCTGGGCTCCCCCCCCCCCGAGTTGCCCCCTCCCTAATTTTTGCAATTTATGTAAACCTTAGAGGTTTCCCCCAACCGCTCTGATACATATTCTTTTTGTGTGGATTTTGGCTGTATAATGAGACACAGAATACTGATATTAGTGTATGTGATGATACCTTTGCATTTAATAATAATAAACCCAAATACTGTTAAGCAATAGAGACTGCTTCCATTAGGGTGAATGGGGCTCTGCCGGCCAGCTTTCTCCTCCTCTGTCTCCATGTTGTCCTTGTTGAACTCAGCAGGGAGGGGGGGAGGGGGACAAAACAAGAAGGAGTTGTGTCATTGGCTCAGACTCTGCCTGTTATTGGCTCCGGCTCCACCTACAGTTGGGCTGCCCGCCTTCTGCCCTACCAGAGGTGGCCAACATGGTGCCCTCCACATAATAATAACAATAATTTATTATTTATATGCTGCCCATCTGGCTGAGTTCCCCCAGCCGCTCTGGTTGGCTTCCAACAAATGAAAACACAATACAAAACCACATGTGGTTGGACTCCGACTCGGCTCAGCCCCAGATGACCCCAATTCCCCTTGGGCCATGCCAGCATAGCCAATGATCAGGGATGCTGGACATTGCGTTCAAATAACTTCTGGAGGGCGACAGGTTCCCCAGCCCACCAGACCATTGTGCGGCTTCTGTCATTTTGTACAGTAGGCTCTTGTGTGGTAGGATTCAGTAAAATAGTTTGCTAATATGTCACCTTCTCTCCCCCTCCCCTTTACTTTCTGTGCTGGTGGTAGTTGCTGCTGCTATGTGGAACATCAATAACCATTCATAAACATGCTGCTCTGTCCATGCTACTAATCTGCTCAGGGAAAAGATGGGTGGGGGAACATGGATATTCATTTCATTCCTAATTCCCCCTCAAAAATAAATAAATAAATGTGGTGATTGGGGATGAGGGAGAAATTGGATTCAGTTCGCATTTTAGGTGAACCTACCTAATTTGCACTTTCTGGATCAGTACACAAACCCAAATGCAGTCATGCTTTGAAATTTGCACCTTGCTGCATTTTGCACCATGGTTATCTAGTCAAGAAATGTGGACAAAAATGCATGCACTTAGAATCATAGAATTGTAATTGAGTTGGAAGGGACCCTGGGGGTCATCTACTCCAACCCCTTGCAATGCAGGAATGAGCAGCTGTCCCAATACGGGGACCGAACCTTCAACCTTGGGGTCATCAGCACCTCGCTCTAACCAACTGAGCTTTGGGTAAAGTGTGCCTAGAAATGTATCTGTTTGGAAAAGCAGCATACCAAAAGGCATTATATAAGGAGGGATTTGCTTTGCCTTTTCTCAGATTGTAGAAATTGTGTATATTGGACAAAATAGAATACAAATATATGTATATTAGGGGAAATTCACACTACTGCTGAATTTTCATGAGGACTTTTGTTTGTTTTTTTAATTGCATACAAATGTGGAAATGAGGAGAACTAAAATGAGAAACTTAAAGAAACTGAAATGGACATATTTGCCCATCCCTAGTGGCGATGAATGGGGCCGTGGGGAGGAGAGGTTTGATTTGAATCTTGGAAGTTAGAAACTGTCTTGAAACACCCTGGGCCTGGCCTTCAGAGCTGCTGGCCATACCTTGGCACTGCAAGTCTTAGGATCGGAATGTAAATTGGTTTAAGTCCAGGCTCAACTGGGTTGTTGATGGGGCTATAAAAAGCCTCTTGACAGCCCTATTATAAACCATACACACTAATCCCCTATCCATCATTTCATCCCTCCCTCCCTCCCGAGCTTGCAGATATAGATATATACGGTTTGCAATAGATCTCTTGCAAACCCAACCCCACTTGATCGACCTAAACTGTAAAAATAATCCAAATCAAAACAAGGTAAGGCCGTAAAGGAGGAGAGTGGGGAGCCCTTGTATTTATTCACAGTGAGCGGTTGTTGTAATCTCTTTAGGATCCAAGCCAGGAGGGGTGTGTATATCTCTCTGTGTGAGTGAGTGTGCAGAGGTCGGGGGGGGGGGGAGAGAGAGAGAGAGAGAGAGAGAGAGAGAGAGAGGGGACTCACCGGCCTGCAGTCATGCATTATTGATAATAACAGCCGTGCCTCTTTAACTGGCTTTGCTCTACGACACTTGAGGGTGCGTGCATGAACATGCCTGCAAGCGGGTGTGTGTGCATGTGAGTGTGTGTTGAGGGAGGGAAACAGGCAGAGAGAGAGAGAACCAACGCCAGCATCTTTCATTCCCTGCACTCTGGATAACCATCTCTTGATTTTTGCTTGGGGGGGGCGGAGAGGAGGAGAGAAAAGAAGGGGACGCCTATTTTCCCATCGCTGCCACCTCTTCTGCAGCTCCATTCATCCTGATCTGGTGGGATGCATCTCCTCGAGTATTCCCCCCCCCCAGGTTGTTGTTGTTAGTATTATTCTCTCTCTCCCCCCTCCCTCTGTCTCCCATCTCCATTTCTGAAAACAACAGAGACCAGCCGTGGATTCTCCTCTGAGCGGGCTGGAAGCAGGAGGTTTGTGCGCTGGAGGAGAGGGGAGAAGGAAGAAGGTTCCCTGGCTGAGGTTCTCCATCAGGCTGGATTGGAAAACAAGGGAGATTTCGACTCCTCTTTGCTGTCCCCCCCCCCCACCACCTCTGGCATCCCTCCATCCGGTCCCTGATGCTTCTCTTCTTTACATGAAAAGGCCGTTGGTGTGCGGAAGGCATGGCATGAGCTAAAACGACTCTCCTGGAGGTAAGCATGCTGCGTCTGTGTATTTAATCCTTTACGGCACAAATATCTCCCTCTCTCTCTCTCTCTCTCTCTCTCACGCTTGCACACACACTCTCCCTCGCTCCCTCCCTCCCTCCCTCTCCCCTGAATACCTTCCCACCAGGTATTGATGTCTGTAGGACGGCATCCCACCCAGAGGGTTTTTCTTGCATTTGCACCACCAAGGGAGAGACCATCCAGGGGCTGTAATTACATCCCTCCTCAATGAAGATCAGAGCATCTCAAAGCCAGTGTTACATAAGGACAAACCTCCTTGCTTTGCTTAACAGGGATCCGACTCTGTTTCTATCTGTCTCCAGCAGATACTCTAATATAGACTGGCAGCCTAGGTGGTGGTTGTTTTTAGATTGGGGGGGGGGATTTGACCCCTCCTGCTCAAACACCCCCCTCCCCCAGTTTTGGTTTGCTGCATTGAATGGAAATTTTAGTGGATCGCTACCAAGGCGATCTCATCAAGAGGCTGTGTGTTGAGTGGGACACACTGTTGTTGTTGTTGTCATTCTTTTTGGGGGTGCGGGCGGGGGGTGTTGCTGCTGTTGTGATTCATGGGTTTGGGGGGTGTCTTGATGGCGCCATTTCCTGATCCCCATCTGGGCTGGCTAGCCGAGAGGATGTGGCGGTGAGATGGTTGATTTTTGGGCCCCACGTGGATCTCTTAGTTTGGAAAGAAGGTAGACTGGGCGAAAGAAAACAGGGCGAGCCTGACCTGGCTGTTTTGGATTTTGCTTCTCTGCCCAGTGGAAAGAGAAGAGGGCCCTGCTGTTTGGACTCTTGCCTTCTATCCTGGTTGAAAAATGTTTGTTGTTGTTTTTTAAATAAGAAAGAAATAATAATAAAGCAAGCCTTTTTGTTTGATGTCATATATCCACTTCTATGTGGGTCTTGAGTCCACTGCTAGGAACACTTGCCTGGGAGTAAGCTCCACTGAACTCGTCAAGAATTATTTCCATGCACAGATTTGGTCTGCACAAACTTAATTTTCTGGACCTCCCCCTCCCCATACCTATGCTTTTTACCTAAGAACCTCTGGTACAAAAATAAAAATAAAAAACAGGTTGACTGGCGCAGAACAAGAAATTACCCAGGAAAGTGTCACCTGTTACATTTTTTCAGGGTTCTGTAGTTAAAGGCACATCAGAAGGGTTGGGGTTTTTTTTTAATTTAAAAAGTGGCAGCACTATCATAAGCTCCCCTTCCCATATATATGTATACACATAAAAAGAGCAAATACTCTTCTTGGGGGTTCTGCCTAGAGACTGCCAAGAGCCGAGATTTGGAATGGCACTGTAGTGATCAGCAGCCATAGAGGAGACACCAATGGCAGATTTTAGCAGGATGCTGTTTGGCTTGCCTGTTATTGTTTCGAAATGCAGTGGATTTATTTTTGGGTTGGTGATGCGAGGGCTGTGTTGTTTGGAAGATATCTCTGCAGCTTTCTTCCCATGCTTAAGAGAGTGGTCTGTGGCTAGCTGGAGAGCTTCTGTTTTCTCATTGAATTTGGGGCTCGGTTTCTTTCTAAAATGACTATTTTGGAAGCTCCAACTTGTGTGCTCTATCCTGAAAATCTTGATCCCTTGTTCCATGAGTGTGGCAGCTGGTGAGATGTGGTTCTCTCCCTACCCCTGTTAACAAGCAGTAGAGTCGCCAACTCTTTTTCTAGCCTCTGCTCCTGCACCTTTCCCAAATACCTGGAACTGAGCCACAGATGTTGTCAGATGAACAGGTGTGTGTCCTTGCACTCCAAAAGCTTCACCTGCCCATGAAGCAGCTCTGAAAGGCAGAAGAACAGCCTAGGCCATTTTTATTTTCTGGTCAGTTGGAAATTCCAATGGTTGGTGAAAAATATCCTGGCATATGCCAGATGTGCTGCCCTCTCTGTTTGAGAACTGAATTCTGATATGAAAAGAGGGTTGTGGTGTAAACATTGTGAAGGTGTGAGAGAGAGCTGATAATAATTCAGTCTTAATTTAGCACTGAAAGACGCCGCAGTTGTTAACTAAACAGGGCTGGTAGTCGTGCAAGTTTAGCTGTGCTGATTCCCCATAATAACAGAAACAATGAGCAGATTATGGTGGGCTGTGTTCTTCACTGTTTCTGTTCTAAAAATGGCCATTCCCTGGTTAAATTGTGCTTGCTGCATTGGAAATCCATAATCGCTAAGCCCAGACATGTGGGAGCTGGCTGTGGCTATTCTCAGTAGTGGCAAACAAAACATTTTGCATATGCTCAAAGAAACTATTTTCTGTGGGATCCATGCCTGCCATTAGAAAGATGGGCAAGGGGTCACCCAAGGTTCAGTTTCAGCATGCTGGGTTGGTTGGTGTTTGCTTCACTCTGTGTAAGAGCTCATCCACATTTCTGCTTGTCCTGTGCCTAAAAAGATTATGTCCAAGCGGTTTCACACTTGACCCACACTTTCTAGACACTGGTCCAAGTGGTTTTGCCTTTGACGTGACACTTTCCCCGGGATAACCCTCTCCTTTGCACTAAATCAGAACAAATGGAAATCCATGGAAAACCCAATGGCCATTTGTTCCAATGCAGTGCAAACAACTGGGTTTCCCCAGGAAGAAAATGGTGGGGCAAAGGAAGGTATGGAGAAGCCCTCAGACAGGCTTTCATAATCTGGTTCCCTCCAGAGGTTTAGGGTGGCAGCTCCTGTCTGGGACTGATGAAAAATAGCCCCAAACATCTGGAGGGCATAAGAAGATCCCTGATGGATCAGGCCAATGCCCATCTAGTCCAGCATCCTGTTCTCACAATGGCCAGTCAGGTGCCTGTGGGGAAATTCTCAAGCAGGACTTGAGCACAAGACCATTCTCCCCTCCTGTGGTTCCCACAACTGGTACTCGGAAGCATTGCTGCCTCTGACCATGGAGGCAGAACAGGGCCATCCTGGCCAGTAGCCATCAGTGACCTTCTCCTCTGTGAATTCGTCCAGTCTTCTTTTAAAGACATCCAAGTTGATGGCCATCACTTCCTCCTGTAGGAGGTTGTTGTTTTGAGTTGTTAGTGGAGAAATCATCTGCAAAATTCCTGCTTTTTTCACTTGGAAAAAAAAGAAAAAAAGTTGTTAAAAGGTAGCAATGCTGGTACTGTGTGACTGTGTATCCTGAAATATTTCACAAATGAATTTAGGAACGCTCTTGTGTCTATAAAAGGGCAGCCTCCTTATCATACCAAGGATTTTCATCCATTTGTATTGCTAGAGTAGCAGGTACAGATCCCTGTTCTCAGGACCTTCCAATTTAAATCAGGGTTGGGGGAAACTTTGGCCCTCCAGATGTCGCTGAACTACAACTCCCATCATCCCTGGCCATTGACCATGCTTGCTAGGGCTGATGGGAGCTGTAGTTCAGCAACATCTGGAAGGCCTAATGTTCACCACACCTGGTCTAAACCAAGGAAAAGGAGGGAAGTGCAGCCAGAATAAATAGAGGAGGAATATCGGCTTGTTTCAGTTGGACGTGTTGAGGTTTGGCTGCAGGCTCAGTTAGATGTGGGAAGCGGGAGGCTGTGCGAAAAGGTTCAAAGAGAAGGTGGCTCTTCAGGAGGGATCTGAAGGCCCAAGCCGACCATTCATTATACATGACTCTCATAAGAATGTAAGAAGAGCCTGCTGCATGGGGCCAATGGCACATCTAGCCCACCGTCCTGTTCTCACAGTGGCTGCCCAGATGCTTGTGGGCAACCCTCAAGCAGGACTTGAGCACAAGAGCACAGCTACCCCCACCCCATAGTTTCCAGCAACTGATCATGAAGGAAGAACATAGCCATTGTTCCTAGCAGCCATTGATCAACTGATTCTTCAGGAACTTGTCTAATCCTATTTTAAAACCATCCGAGTTGGTGGCCATATCATGGACCCTTGTGGCAGTGAGTTCCATAGTTTAACTATGGACTGCATGAAGAAGGGCTTCCTTCCATCTCCAGTGATTCACTTACTCCTTTTTTCCTTTTTCTTATGCATAACTGTCCACCCTACCTTCAAATGCTCTGTGCGGGTACATTGTGGGGATCCCTTTCAGAAAATTTTAAACGGCACATATGCCAAAAGTTCTCCAGATTTTGGTGTGCACGCAAACACAATTCTCTAGGCGATAAATAAAGAGGATGGAGCAACTCTCCTAGAGGAAAGCTTACAGCATTTGGAACTTTTTAGTTCATAGAAAAGATGAATAAAAGGCGACATGGTAGACGTTTATGAAATTATACATGGCATGGAGAAAGTAGATAGAGAGGAAAAAATCCTCCCTCTCTCACAGTGAACATCTGAGGATTCAAGACATACAACAGTGCATAGATAAAAATATATTATTTGCTCCCACCAGATATATTGATGGCCACCCAATTGGATGGCTTTGAAAGACAATTGGAGAGGTTCATGGAGAAGGCTGCTAGACACAATGGCTATGCTCTGCCACCACTGCTCTGAAGACCAGATGCTGGGAATCACAAGTGAGGAGATGGCTGTTGTGCTCAAGTCCTGCTTCCAGGCTTCCCATAGGAATCTCCGCTGGTCACGTTGACAGCAGGATGCTGGGCTAGATGAGCCTTTGGCCTGACCCGGCACGGCTCTTCTTACGTTCCTAAACCATCATGATACCTGGGTACCACTTCTGCTGTCAGAGGCCATATGCCACTAAATACCAGTTACTGGGAATTGCAAGTGAGGAGAGAACTGCTCTTGTGCTTGGGTCCAGGATGCAGGACCAAATGGGCCATTGCCCTGATCCAGTGGGGCTCCTTTAATATTCTTATGTTTATATTCTTGGTTTTCTGCATCAGGTGTGATTGGATGACCCAATCACAGCTGCTGCAGAGAGGTAGCAAGATTAGCCACACTCAGAGGAGATCAGGCGTGAGTCAGTGCCCCAGTTCTTCCTGTTTCCAGTGCAGACGTGGGTCCAGCACAGTGATTCACTCAGAAGCGCTGGACTGGGAGTCCTTATTCTTGCAGCCCTTCAGGCAGAAATTTATTTATTTATTTATCTCTCTATATTTAAATCTGCTTAATATAAAAATAAATTTCATATATATACACAATTGAATAAAATGCCTTTTAAAAGGTAAATGAAACCAGAATTGAAACTATATACCATAGATAAAATAGAGCAGTGCATGAATGAAAAAGTTTAAGAATTGGGAATCAAGAATCTAGGACGGCTTGGGTGAACACAGAGGGCTCATGTCCAATGTTACAGTTCCCAGAATTCCTTGTGAAGAGGGATTGACTATTAAACCACACCTGGAGCTGTAGCTGGGTGAGGGGAAGGGGGTTTCTCCTAACAACTCTCAGCACCCTGAACAAACTACAGTTCCCAGGAAACATTAGGGGAAGCCACAACTGTTTAAAGTGGTATGATGATGCTTCAAATGGTGCAGATGGGGCATTAGAGGAATGCAATCCTATACTGTATGTTTAAGAAGTGTTTTAAAAGCTGGTTACTATTTCTGCCTCTCAAAGCACCTGGAGGAAAGGGTGTCCCTCTGAGGAAATGTAGCACATTAATAGAGTGAAAACAAAACTTTTGACTTTACCAATGGGCAGTATTGTACTCCTTAGTGGTAAAACATGTGGTTTGCAAGCAGAAGGCCTTAGGTTCAATTCCTGGCATTTTTAGTTAGATAGGAACATAGGAAGCTGCCTCATACTCAGACCATTGGTCCATTGGGCCTAGTATTGTCTACAATGACCAGCAGCACCTCCTTAGGGTTTCAGGTGGCAAGTCTCTCTCAGCCCTACCTGGATATGCCAGGGATTGAACGTGGGACCTTCTGCATGCCAGGCAGATACTCTGCCACTGTACAAAATAGCAGGTGATGCAAAAGATCCTTCTCTGCCTGAAACCCTGGAGAAGACCTGCCAGAGTAGCTATGATGCTGAGCTAGCCTGGGGTGGTATTAGGCAGCTTCCTCCATTCCTATAGGGACAGTGCTATTGCATTCAGGTCTTGCTTGCAGGCCTCCCTTAGGCACCTGCCTGGCTTCCATGAGAACAGGGTGTTGGACTACAGGGCTGTTCTTACACTCCAACTTTAATTTAGGGGGAAAAAAAGTATAATTCAGGAGGTGGGGGAAAGGTATCATTACTTGCCTGAAGTTTGCAAACCTCTAAACGATTGCACAAAATATTTGGGGGGAGTGAGGCAATTGCTGCAGTGAGCAGTTTAGATGTCACATTAATTGAACCTGGTAGCTCACTCTGCTGAATATATATTGAAAAAATGAGATATTCAAAACAGCTTTCCCTTCAGGCCAGAAAAGCTTTTGCACTTAAATGTCACAAATTAGTACCTTTAAATTTTCACAGTATCTCACTTCCAAAAATATCAGACCTGTTCCCCACCACCACCCTCCAAAGTTGAATACAGTATTCACAAGAAAGTTGTTTGAGCCAGTTCCTAAGGGAAGAGATGGTAAGATTACCCACACAGAACCGCCTCAGCTAGGGATGGGGCATTCAAGATTTTGGACTGCATACAGGAGCTGCCTCTGTGGCAAAGCGTTTGCCTCTGAGTCAGCATCTGGTGACAGGAACACTCTAAGTGGGCAATAGGTGGCTCATTCACACATTCAACCTGTTGCTTGATGCTGCCACCAGCAAGTGATGCATAGGTGAACTGACCAGTAGAGTTTCCTTAATGATGATATGCCCTGTTGTTGTTGTTGTTGTTGTTGTTTACTGTATCATCCCATCTGTCCATCCAGAGGAGCCCAGGGCAGCAAACACATTACTGATAAAACAATCAACGATGAAAAGCGTGAAAAACAATTTCATATACAGTCGTACCTTGGTTGTCAAACGCCTTGGTATTCGGACGTTTTGGCTCCTGAACACCGTAAACCCGGAAATAAGTGTTCCAGTTTGCGAATGTTTTTTGGAAGCCAAATGTCTTTTTTGGCTGTTGGCATTGTTTCCGGAGCCAATCAGCCAATCAGAAGCCACACCTTAGTTTGCGAACTTTTCGGAAGTCGAACAGACTTCTGGAAAGGATTCCATTCGACAAACAAGGTACAACTCTCTCTCTCTATATATATATTAAAAGCATTCCAATGTAAATATCTATATGAAAGGCTTGTTGGAAGAGGAAGGTCTTCAGCAGGTGCTGGCTAAACCGTAGAGAGGGTGCACTATCTAACCTATCCTGTTGATGTCCTCTTCTAGCTTGGCTCAAGGCTTCTGGGGAAGACTGTGTTGAGAATGTGGCACTTCCTGGCAAGGCAGGATTATGCGAGGAAGAGGAAGAGTCACAACCAATAACAATGCAAAGTCCAGTCTGGTAGAGCAGAGTCAAGGTAGGCTCTGCAGGATCACAACAAGGCAGGTCTGTCAGGACCCTGGACAGATCACTGTGGCAAATGCTGGCTGCAACTCTCCCCAGAAGAGCTGTTGTCTTAGCAGCCTGGCTGATTCCTTATGAATTGTCACTGGTCTGACTGGCTGTGGGCCCTGCCTGCCTCTGAAGGCCTGTTTGTTTCTCAAAGGGCCATTGCAGGTTCCTGGGGCCCAGGGGCAGTGAAGATTGCATGGGGCAGGGGGCTTTTAGTCCAATGAATCAGGTGAAGCCATGTCATCTGACCAGGAAGGTCCTGGAGCGGGAGGTGATGCCTCCCTGCGTGATGCCTTCTCCCCTCTGAGTCTTCCTTTGAGCCACAGGTGGGAACAGAGGCCTGAGAACACGGCAGTCTTTTTTTTAATATTTCATTTTTCATTTTTCAAGACGATATTGTTATACACTCATATCTTTTTCAATTTCTACATTTCTGGGATTACTCAGAACCCTTGGATTCCCCCCACCCCCTATATCTATTTAGATATAGATTAGATATAGATAGATATAGATATAGATATAGATTAGATATAGATATAGATATAGAATTACATTTTTCTAATCCACATTATCTCCTTTTTGAACTCCTTAACCCATATTACATTATAAGTGTTACAACAATGCTGTTTATGTTTTTAAGTATATACAGTGGTCTTTAAGGTATTCTATAAACTTTTTCTACTCTTGACTGAATTTCCTGTCATCTTGGTGCCTGATCCTCACGGTCATCTTTGCCATTTCAGCATAGTCCATCATCTTGGTTATCCATGGTTCTTTAGTTAGGACTTTCTTTTCCTTCCACTTCTGGGCAAGTAGCATTCTTGCGGCTGTCGTCACGTACATAAATAGTCTTTTTAAATCTTCTGGTATTTCGTCTCCTGTTAACCCTAGTAAAAAGGCTTCTGGGTTGTTTTTTTTAATAAAAGTTATCTTAAACATTTTTTTCAATTCATTGTATATTATTTCCCAGAAGTCTTTTACTATTTTACTTGTCTACCGTAGACCAGAGAACATGGCAGTCTTTGTCCCTATGTCCCACTTTACAGAGGAAAGTCCTCTACTTGAAGACATCCTCTGTTTCAGAGCTGGGTAAGCTGTGATTCTCCAGATGCTTTTGGACCACAACACCCATCATCCCTGATCACTGGCCATGCTGGTTGCTGTGGAGATCAACCACATCTGGAAGGCCACCAGTTTGCCACCCCAGCTCTGTTCTATCCATTCCAAGTCTGGTTTTAAAAATAACAATCCTTGCATAAGCAAGGAGATGCATATGCTGGGGTCAAGCGTGCATAGAAATACATATATTCATGAACACAAACACAAAAATGCATTATATTAGGGAAAATGGCTTTGCAAAAAATTATGCTTTGGGCAAAATTGCATACCAAAAATATGTATGAGAAACTCGCACAAAAATGCTGGTGAATTTTAATAGGGACTTGTTCTTTCTTTCTTTCTTTCTTGCAAACTGATGTGAAAATGTGGAGAACTGAACTTAAGCTTGGAAAAATGAGGAAAAAATGAAATGGGCGCATTTGCCCACCTCCTTCACTCTTGTGCCATCTGTATTAGAGAGCATCAAATTTGTTCAGCCAACATCGCTTTTGTGGGTTCTCCTCCTGACCCTTTAACTGCATCTTGATATTCAAAAAAGAAACTGGTGATCATGTCGTCCTGTCCCTTGTTTGCCACACCCAGAAGTTCTTCTTCTTCTGCTGCTACAGGGTTCTCGAATCTCACTGGATTTGTATATATATTTGTTTTTAAACGTGATTGTGGGGGAACAGCCCACTATTGGTTTCAATTGTCTAAACCAAAAGGAAGCTGTCCGGTCTTGTGGTTCATCTTCAGGAAACCTTGGTTTTATCCTCATGTGCCCTCAGCTGAGTCACTAACGGCTTCAGTTTTTTGAATGGCTTTTCTTTTCAAACAACTCTGCAGCAGAATTTCATCCTGGAGCCCCTTGTTCTCTTCCTCATAAATCTAGAGTTTGCAGTCTTGAGTGTGGCTAATGGCAGGGGATCAGATGCAAAAACAAAAACAAACAAACCCTGAACCCACCCACCCCCAACCATTTTATTCCTTCCAGGGACACCTGTCTGTTTTTGTGGTTGATTTTCAAGGAGGTGGGGGCTCCTCGACCCTCCAGATATTGCAGCAGAGGTCATCTGCTCAGAGTCTTCTCCACTGTGGTGAAAAGTATTGTGTTTCTTTTAAAATCATAGTAATTCTTTACAAATTGCATATAAACACATATTTCATGCAATTCTGCACCCTCTCTTATCCTATTTTTGTGTGTGATGTAGAAACAGTCACTTTCACCAATACCACCAACTTACTGAGAAGGCCCTCATCTTCCTGATCGCTTGTGATGGCACAGGGATGGGCTGGGCAAGTGGGCAATAGCTCAGTGGCAGAGCAGCTGCTTTGCACGCAGACAGTCCCAGGTTCAAACCCTGAAATCTCCAAATAGGACTGGGGAATGCTCCTACCTGAAATTCCAGGGGGCTGCTGCCAGTCTGGGAGCTAGATGGGATGGTTGGTCTGACTCTGTTTAAGGCAGCTTCCTATGAGAGAGTGCTGTGGTAGTCAGGTCCTTGCACGCTTCTTCCAGGGGTCTCTTGAAACCCTGGAGAGCTTCTGCCAACTGGTGTTGACAATATTGGGTTTGTTGTTGTTTAGCCGTTTAGTTGTGTCCGACTCTTCGTGGCCCCATGGACCAGAGCACCCAGGACCAGAGTCCTGATATTGGGTTAGATGGACTAATAGTCTGACTTGGTATAAGCCAGCTTCCCAGGCTTCTATTGATGTGTCAGCCCTTTAATCATAGCCATGAGGACTGGAAGCTTCCGTTATTTTATTTTTTAGCAAACAGGCCATAACTTGGTGGTAGAGCACCTGCTTTGCATGCAGAAGGTCTCAGGTTCAAAACCTGGCATCTCCAGGTCAAAGTGGGAATAGTGTGGGGAAACCCAGAAGTACTGTGGAGAAGGATGATGGTATCTGCTGAATCTGTCTGGCTTGGTGCTTCTCTGCTCAGCACTGAGTCATTAATATGTAATAATACTAAATAAGAATAATAAATAGGGACATGCTCACAACACGCCAATTCTCATTTGAAGGACCCAAGAATGAGTGGTCCTGAGACCTTCCACCGTCCTTATTTTCCATTGCTAAGGGCTTGACTCTATCTCTTCCTTGTGCTCTCTTTGCTTGCTTTGCAATCGCCTCTCTCCTCCAGCGATTCCAAAGCCAGAAGAGGGTTTTGTTCCTTTCTGCTCAAAATAAACAAAACAGAGCTGTCCCAAAATAGGTGACCAGCAGTTCAGATGCGGCTCAGCAGCTGCTGAGTGTGAAATGGCAGGCTGTGAACTGCACAGTGCTTCAGTGTCCTCATGTCTGCCTCGACACTAGAGAGGAGGCATCTGCTCCCCGCTCAGAGGTTTCACTTCCAGGGAGTCTGGGGACGCAGCTGAATTCTGAAGAAGAACGACTTTAGCAACTCACACTCAAGGGGGGGGGGGGATGTAACAAGGCATCTCCAAAAGGCAGGGGACATGAATTTACTAGGGACACGAACCAAAAAATGGAGCCATTTGGAGCATACGTTTTAAGAGGAATAGGGTAGCACCCCTGCTGGGTAGATGCAAACATCGTTGGAAAGCACACTGTGCAGGAGATCCCAAAAGGGAAACTGATGTGGGGTGTGTGGGTGTTCAGGTTGCAGCCTGCCTTTGCTGAGCACAACAGCATTGCCTTTAAGTTCTCAGATAGCCACTGAAGGAGAGCCATATGTTCGCTTTTCCAAAAGCTGCAGCAATTTGCAGGCAGAGGGGGATGGGGAGAGGGGAGGGGCTGTGCTTGCTGCCTCCGCCACTCGCAGTGGGATGTCAGAGAGGGTGAAAGCCAGGCCTCTCTGTGTAAATAACCCTGCAGGGCGCTGGTGTGTTCACTCTTGCGATAGACAGCGACTCCCATTAACCTCAAAAGGGTTGGGGTTTAATGGAGGGTTTCTTTGGGTTTTGGAACCGAGTGCTGGTGAATGCTGAACTCAGAATAAACCCTGCTCACGAGGCTGGTTAGACGATATAGATCACGAAGACATTTGCACACTGGGGAAACCCTGCTGTAAAAACAGGATGGTGGGGAATGTCTACCACGCAGAGGATTTGTTTGCATACAGTTAAGGATAATTTGTTCCATTATCCTAAGAGCAAACAGCCAAGGCCTCCGTGATCAAGGTATTCCAGAGTGTTTCAGCTGTGTCTACCCACCCACCATGATTACAAGTCACTATAATACCCTCTAGGGTAGCAATCCTAGGGCTGTTCACACAACCAGAGTTGCTTCATACTAGGAATGCTTGAGGGATTAGGTTTTTGGCAAAGTCCACTGTGAAACTGACCTGATCTGTCTTTTCTAGGCTAACATGCAAATCAGAACTTAGGAAAGTAGGAAACTGCCTTATGCTGCACCAGACCTTTGGTCCATCTAGCTCAGTATTGATGGACCTCCAGGGTTTCAGACTAGGCACAATCCCAGTCCTACCTGGAGATGCTTCAGATTGAAATCAGGACCTTCTGCATACTGTTAAATGTGTGTAATAGTGTATGGAGGGAATTATGCTACCCGAAGAGCTTCAGAATAAGGAAAATGAGAACATAATGAGAGTTCATCTGGACCAGCCCATCCAGCATCCTGTTCTCACAGGGGCCAACCTGGTGCCACACAAGCAGGACGTGAGCCCAACAGCACGCTCTCCACTAACGTTCCCTAAGAACTGGTATTCAGAGGCCGTATTGAGGAACTACACACAGCCATAATGAGTAGCAGTCATTGACAACCTCTATCTCCGTGAAGTTGTCTAATCCCCTTTGAAAGCCATCCATGTTAGTGACTATGTCCACACTGCCACTTGTCTCGCACTTTCCTCTGGGAAAACCTGCTCCTTATCACTGAATTGGAGCAATTGGCTTTTCCATAGACTGACATTTGTTCTGATTCAGAAGTGAAGAATGTGTTTTCCCAGGGAATGCGGCAGGGCAAATGGGAAACTGCTTGGACCCTTGCTTTCTAGGTGTGTGGACAAGCCCACATCTCTATTCCTTTTGGTGCCTGTTAAAAACATTTTTGTTCAGGCAAGTTTATCCAGGTGTGTAGAAGTTGGCATGTATTTTAATCAGTTTTCAGATGATTTGTTTATTTTATTTATATTTTGGAGTTTTTGAATGCGTGTTTTTAACTTTGTCTTGCGTTGACAATTTTAATCTGTGGTGTGTGGGTTTTTTTGTTTTATTTTTGGGCAAACTGCAAATAGACCCTCTAAGCAATCAAGCAGTATATAAATTATGTTAAATAAAAAAGTAAACCTTTGGAGAGCAAATTCCAGAACTTAACTATGTGCTGCTTGAAGAAATGTTTAGTTAAAACTAGTTTGCAACCTGCGCAATGTATCCAGCTTATGTTGCTTTTTATTGTCACCGTCACCTCACAAATAAGTGAGGTTTGATAAATAAGGAAACATTCACTGAAACAAGGAAGAGTTAGGAATCCTATTCCAGATGCAGCTGCTCACCACAAAGGCTGGCATCAGACATGGGCCATGTTGGGGTGCTTGGGCCTTTGACAACTGCCCAACAATGTCGGGTACCAACGACTGCTTTGCATAGGACAGTGGTTTTCAACGGACGTGCCGCCGTGCCCTTGGGTGCATTGTATGATGGTCAGATGTGCTGTGGGTGGGGGGAATCTCGGGCAGCACCAGCCTCCATCCCTCTTTCCTTCCTTCCTCTTAATAGATAGATTAGATTAATAGAAGAGGCTGTGTGTGGCAGAAGTGAGGGCTGCATCACCTGCAAGGCATGATCTGCAAGGCCTGATGGGAAATGTAGTTCCTGAGCCCTGTCTTTGCCTCAGATGGGGTGAAGTTCCAAGGCATGTACACACACACACACACACACACACACACACACACACACACACTATCTCTCTCTCTCCAACCCCTGACCCTAGGGGTGGGAATTTAGTAGGGCTTGCTTACAAGTAGGCACAGTTAGGATTGCAGGGAATGGAATTCCTTCTCTCCACACACGTACCATGCACACAAACACACAACTCACACGCACCAGGGAGATCTGTGTGTGTGTTTTATGAAGACTAAATGGCCATTGCGGTATATCAGTATACCAGTGCTTCAAAGTGCACTTTGTATCTTTTTCTGATTGCTATATAAATTTGTTTTCATTTTCCTCCCAACTTTCAAAAGCAACATTTAGCAAAGCAATGAATGGCTTATAATTTTTTAAAAGCCTTTTCAAAGCTGTGCTGCTTAAATTTGAAGCCTTAAAGGAATGATGGGCAAAACCAGTAAATGATGAAACTACACAAGTTTTTACCAGATATCCCACAGGGGAGCCGCGTAAAGAATGTAGTTGGTCAAGGGAGCGGTGGACTCAAAAAGGTTGAAAGCCTCTGATACAGGAAATCATTCTCGAGGAAATCATTATTTGCAATCTGACCTGATTTGCACCTTCTGGGCTAATGGGCGGATCAGCTTCCAATTGCCCAGAGGTGTACCTAGGGGTTGGCAAAAGTGCCCCCCCGGGGGGAGGGGTAGACCGCCACCCCCCCAAAAAAATAACCTATCAGGCTATGTAGTATATGTCTGTGGCTCTGCACTGCAGCTGTCATGGTGAAATCAGATGCAGGAGAAGTTTCCCATCCTCCTTGCACCGTGGCACAAAGGCATTCAATTTTTTTTCACTCTTTTGGCAGGCACCAATATGGCTCCTTGCCAGGTGTGCAAGAGACCCTAGGCACACTTCTGCAGTTGCCCTTCAGATTTCACACTTCTCCAAATTTTATGGTGCAATTCTCAACTCATAATATCCCCATGTGTATTTTAGGACGAAATGCATTTAGAAATGTGAATTTTGTGAGAAAACTGCATTTAAATATGAATTTTTAAGTAAGAAAAATGGTAGATTAATGTAGGAAATGGGACACAACAGACTTATTGCACAGACTTATTTTCCATATATGTTTCTCTGTGCCCAAAGCTGGCAGAAGCAAACAGCTCTCAGTGGCAGGTGATTCACATCAGGACTAGGGAAGTCAGGGAAGCCAGACATGGGTGGAGCAAGAGCCAATGATGCTCATAGGCAGAATCAGTGGCAAGCAGAGCCAACTGATTATAGTTCTGTCCTATTCCTCCTCCCAGCTGAATTCTACACAAGCAAGACTGAGACTAAAGAGGAGAAAGCTGACAGGCAGGTCCCACCCTCTGGACCACTTGTAAATGGGAAAGGTTGAGAGCAGACCGAGGTTGGTGGGGCGGTGCCTTATTTGCTCTAATGGGGCAGCCTTGAATCCCCCTTACAAATATTTTGGGGAGATAACTGTGTTGCCAGTCCACTATGGAGAGAGCTTCAAGGTATTAAAAGACCTGGCTATCAGAAAGACTGCCTTCTCCTATATAGACCACCACTGTGATCTACTGAGGCTGACTGAGCCGTTCACCTGACTGCAGTGTGGGGAAGGGCCTTCTCAGTGGTGGCACCTGCCCTGCGGAATGATTTTCCAGCAGAGATCAGGCTTGCTTCAATGCTAGGTGGTCTAAAAAGTCCTCACTTACCCCAGCATTTTCCTGATCATTTTTGCTTTATTGGTTTGGCTTTGCGTGTTTGTGTGTGTATAATTTCCCCCTGTTGTTCTGACTTGGTTTTATTAATCTGATTTTATTGATTGTAGTAGATGGTATTGTGTTTCATATGCAAGCTGCTTTTATAGTTTGTCACAGAAGTGAAAAGTGATATACAGATGTTCTGAACGAAGGAATAAATCCAGGTGTTGGCTCACACCACTATCCAAATTGGAGAGAAACAAGCCTTTGCTTTGTTCTTCCAAACAGAATTCAACTGTGCATCCCAGACAGATACTTACAGGCCAATCAAGTAGTCTATTGTGTGTGGCTGATTAGTCTAATGGCGTCATACACTTCATGCATGACACTTCAAATTACATCTTCATTCATATTTGAAAAGAGAAATGATTACCGTTGCCTGATGCCCATCTTCCTGCTAGAGCGAGGCAGCTATTAAGCTGGGGGGGGTCAGTCCTCCAGCTTCGTGAACACAGCACTCCTTATCACGTCTCTTCAGGGCCCTCTCTTTGTTTTGTTACTGCCTCACAGGGTGAGACAAAAAATAAATAAATACCCCCCCCCCCCGTTATTCTGAAATTTGCATGGGGCATTTTTCTTTCCAGTTGAGATTTGCATAGCCTGGTACCTAGATGCAGCTCACGCAATGTGAAGGGAATCTAGCATTTTTGATGAGATGGATGTTTGTCCCTTTCAAAGGCTAAAAAAACACACAAAAACTCATCTAGATTTTTGGAAATGGATATTATGCAAAAGTAAAAGATTTGCATCCACTGACTTAGTGAGCGTGGTTCCATTGGGGTAGGTAGGTTTAAAGATTTATGGAGATGGGCTAGAGTAAAAGTAGAAGGAAAATGTAAAAGCAGGCTTCCCCAACCTGGTGCCCTCCAGCTGTTTTGGACCACAGCTGCCACGAGCCCCAGCCAGCCCTCTAGGAAGGCCTCTAGTCACAGCCACCCCACATATATTTAAAGTACAACTCCCCCCCCCCAATAATCCTGTAAACTGTAACTTAGCCCCTCTCAAAGCTACTACAGCACCCTTAGCAAACTATGGTTTCCATGATGCTTTGCGGTAAGCGATGCTCTCAAAATGAATGATGCGGACATGGTCTTTGAATACCCAGTACCCAGTCACAGGGGAGAACTCCAGCCTTCATGCCTTAACAGGGGTCTTCCCAGTTCCTCTAGGATGTGACCTGGAGGCTCCATTGAGCTGTCATGTGACCCAAAGCCATAATCTCTTGCCACAGAAAATTGCTTTGCAGGCAGGAGGTCCCATATTCAATCCCTGGCATCTCCAGACAAGGGCTGGGGGAGACTTCTGCCTAAAACCCTGGAAAACTGCTGCCAGTCAGGGTAGACAATACTGGGCTAGATGGACCAATGGTTTGACTCAGTGTAGGGCAGCTTCCTATGTCACACTGCAGATTTGTCAAAAAGCATCGTGCTATTGGCAATTCTATTTAACTACAGCAAGTTCCAAGAATCTTCGGTACTCAGCCCACTGATGGCAACCCCTGCCAAGAGTGCAGGACCAACCAGCCACACACTTTTCCAGAGGTGTGTGTTTGCTGATACCAGAGCAAGCACTGTCCTTCCCCCCTCCCCTGCACCAGCTAACATGAAACCCCTGCTTCTTCTGTTCCTCCTTCCCCGGAGGTCTAGATTCATGACCCATGCTGAGATCCATTATCTGATTTCTATAGCCAGCTGACTCAGAGAGGGACAAAAGCTATTCCAGAGATACAGGGGAAGAATAAAATAATGGACTTTGCTTGGAAACAAATTCCCTCTCTCCCTGTCCCCCTTCACAGCTGCGTTCTCTTTGTGTAACGAAAAGCAGGAAGGGCTCTCCAAAGCCCTCTCCCACATTGGAGGACAAGGGAATGGGATGTCTAAATGCCCACCCCCCCCTCCAGCTCTGGGTTCAGAATGCCAGTGGAATCAAGTGGGAAGTGGGAGAAAGTGAATCAAACCTGGCTCATAGCCAAAGCAAAAGGCCTCTGTATGTCATCTGTTCCAAGCCATAGTGCAGCCAAGGCAAGATGTCAGGGCTGGAGCCCAGCCCTTTGCCCCTACAGCTGATAATGATGGCTACTGCACAGGGGGACTGGTAGGCTGGAAGGCGGGGAGCCCAACACTAGGTGGCGCCAATGACCAGTTGGTAGTTCAGAGCACAAACTTGTAGACTTGTAGAGGTTTGACTATTAAGTGACGGAGGGTAAATTTTCTGTGGGAATATATTTGCAAGATACAAGGTAAGGTGAATGCCAGGGGAGGGAGGGATAGCACCATGGTGTGTGCTGCACACTGATTAGCTGGGACTGGAGTGTGACAGAACAGGGGTTTGTGGTGAGGGCGAAGGATAGTTGGGTGTGGGAGTGAGTGGAGGGTGGCTGGGTGGGTGCTGAGGAGTAAGGGGTAGAGCAGGCAGGGTAGGAATGGGACTAGAATTATAAACACATGCTGAAATTCAAAGCATCCAAACACTGTTATTAGAAGCAAATCATATTAGAACCTGTTACAGCCAGCTTTTACTGTAGTAATAAAGTTTGCTTAATCCAACCACATCTCATATTTGGCTAAGCTATCAGGGCTGTGACAAAATAAGTCAGAGATAGTGGTACAGTGGTACCTTGGGTTACAGACGCTTCAGGTTACAGACTCCACTAACCTGGAAATAGTACCTCGGGTTAAGAACTTTGCTTCAGGATAAGAACAGAAATCGTGCAGTGGCAGCGGGAGGCCCCATTAGCTAAAGTGTTGCTTCAGGTTAAGAACGGACCTCCAAAACGAATTAAGTTCTTAACCTGAGGTACCACTGTATCTATATGTTGGCAGTGGAATGCCAGCAGCTGGGAAGTTGCTTGAGGTCTTGGGAGCCCAAAGCTGGGAACCCTTTAAATCAAATAGCAACCCAGCGGCGTTGAAATAACTTTTCCAAAGCAAAAGGGATGCGTGGTTTGAGTCAAAGTAGCCTCTTGCTCTTAAGTGGTGGGCTTGAGTAGGGGAGGGCACGACTGTATCCTTACAGCCCCTCCCCTCCTCAAAATTTCCCGACTTCTTTTCTGAATCTGCATGGATGAGCAGGAATGGTGAAGGGAAGCGGGGCAGAGGAGAAAATACTTGCAGCGCCCATTATGAGCTCAGGGAGGATTATGTGAGTATCACATGGACGTTCTCTTTTAAAACTGACATGTGGATTCTGGTAATTTAAAGGCAGAGACAGCGAATCCAAAGAAATAGATTTCCTTGCTGTCTCCGATCTTTGATTTGTGGAGTTCAGATGAGTCTATAAATAGCAGGCAAATAAGAACCAGCCTTGGGTTTCCCCCAGTGTGTTTGATGGGTTATCTGGAGGTGAGAGGCTGTTGTTTCATTGTCAGGCTGCTGAAACTACATGGGGCCTGGGAGATGAGAGACTTTTGAGGAAGAGGGGGTAGGTTGAGAGTCTTAAGGAACAAAGTTCCACTTTGGCTCTTGAAAGGCTGTATAGCTCAATGGCAGAGCATCCGGTTTGCATGCAGAAGGTCCTGGGTTCAATTTCCAGCATGTCCAGGTAAGACTAAAAGAGATCTCTGTCTGAAATTCTGAGCAGCCACTGCCAGGCTGTGTAGCCAATGCTGTGAAGTGATGGACCAATAAGGCAGCTTCCTGTGTTTCATTTCAAGATGAAGACACCCTAAATAAATAAATAAATAAATAAATAATTTATACCCAGCCCATCTGGCAGGGCTTCCCCAGCTACTCTGGGCGGCTTCCAACAAAATATTAAAATACAGTAATAATTGTCAAACATTGCAGGCAGTAGAAAGAAAGAACACCAAATAATGCAGCAAAGTCACTAATGAAGAGAAGCAGGGGATGACAACTCAAAGTCCGTGATGATACATGGTTACAGATAAGTTTGTGGGGCAATTACATATAAAATAGCATCAGCAACTGCCAAGAGTGTCTGGATATATGTAAAAGCCTGTCAAATAGCTCAAGTGGTTGAGCACAAGACTCTTATCCTCAGAGACGTGGGTTCTAGCTTCACTTTGGGCAAAAAGATTTCTGCATTGCAGGGGGTTGGGCTAGATGACCCTTGGAGTCCCTTCCAACGCTATGATTCTATGAAAAAATAATGCCCATCAAAAGCCAGCTGAGAGGCCTTAGGTGTGGTGTAAGTGCTATTCCACTGGTGGAGAGGAGAATCTCTAACAGTGCCACCCCCGCCCCCTGAAGGGAAAGCTCCCCTGACTTGCCTATGAGAAGTGCAGAAATTTAAAATGCAATACAGTGGTACCTCGGGTTAATAACTTAATTCATTCCGGAGGTCCGTTCTTAACCTGAAACTGTTCTCAACCTAAAGCGCCACTTTAGCTAATGGGGCCTCCCGCTGCTGCTGCGCCGCCAGAGCACGATTTCTGTTCCCATCCTGAAGCAAAGTTCTTAACCCGAGGTACTATTTCTGGGTTAGTGGAGTCTGTAACCTGAAGCACCTGTAACCTGAGGTACTACTGTACAGGGATTGGGGAAGAGGGAACTGAAAAATCATCTCCACCCCCAGCTTCGGTCCTGGCCAGAGTGAGCCAAGGCAGCTGAGGCCACAATGCCTCCTCTGCCACAAAATAGCTCTCTCCCCTTTGCACGTACCTTCAGATTGCTTCATTAGTTATTTAGCTGATATGGGGTCAGAAAAATAAGCACCTGCATTTAATTGGCTTGTTATCACTGAAGCAGTCAATACACAAAACTGAAAGCCTGGGTCGTGTTGATGCACTTTGACATAAATTTATTTCCCAACCCCAAATACTGCAGTCCTCACTACACCTGAAATTAAAGGCCATTTTGCCGGGACATCTGTGCACAATAGCCTGGATTTGTATTTTATTTTTGGTTGTGCCCAGCTGCAGCAACAGCAACATCTGCCCTGAGTGCAACCTGAACTAAGTCCCTAAGCAGGCGAGCATCGGCAGCTTGTTTGGGTTTCTTTAACTGAATAAGGTAATGGGATGTTATTATTTCTTTTTAGCATGGAACTTTCATAATTGTTGATGCAAAGCTAAATATTAGCTCACACTGAGGACAGAAGGCTAGGTAGAGGGGCATGATTGCAGCTTCTGATTGGCCCTGTGCCTGCAGCCTAACACAGTCAAGCACATTTGGCCATTGCACCCTCCTGATATTGCTGGGGGTAGAAAAAACTGGAAACATACAACATCCAGTGGAATTTAGGGGTGGGAAGTTCTTGCCTACAATAGCTGTAAGTAGGAGAAGTCTATATCTGACCAGTAAGAGAATTTCAGCAACCATATCCATACAGAACCACAATCATTTCTAAGCATGCCCCAGTATTACATGGGGGGCAGTTTAAAGTATGGAAATGGCTTAATACAACAGTAGAAGGAAGGGAATGAGATCATGGATGCACACAAGCACACTCACATGCTGCCTTTCCAGGAATTTGCAACATTCCCAGCCCCATAAGTTCCAAGCACCTGACAGGGATCTTACAATTGAGACAGATAATATATATTGATCTGCCTAAATAAACAACAGGAGCAGAGGTCAACTGGATGACATCAGCTTGCAGAGTGCTCAGCACCATCTGCGAAAAGGATACAAGGGAGGTGCATTATTTATCAGAGAATGACTTTCTTCTTGCCATATGCCTAGTGAGGTTCACCACCCAAAGCTTGCTGAATGCTTAACTGCACAGCTAATTAGACCCCCTCCCCAGGCTACTCGTCAAAGGATCCAGATAAGTCTTTATCCCTCTCTTATTCCCCCTCTCGAAAACAGAGTTATCTAGTTCAGTGGTTGTTTTGTTTTCTCCTTGAGAAGTTAGCCTGAAGTGCTAACATTAGCAAAAACTGAGAGCAGCAGCCATGAAGCCGGTTGATGATAACCCTTTGTGTATTTGCATTGGGGCTGTATTCTTCAATGGGTGGATTAATAAACTAAAGATTTACTCCCACCATTTCCAGGCTGTGCTCTTGAGACCCTTAGAACTTTCCATAGTTCCTCAGTGAGAAAGGAAAGTGATGGCCGACTCATTTCCCTATGTGTGCTTGAATACAGTACTTGGGTCCCTGGATGTTGTTGTACTCCAACTCCCCTAATCCCCAGCCAGCTTACCCCAAGGATGATGGGGACTGTAGACCAACAGCATCTGGGAGAACCAAGGTTGAAGAACACAATTTTGATGTATTGTGTTTCATATTGTGCTCCAACTTCACTTGAGGGCATAGTGAGGCCTGGCAGGGCTAGGTAATCCTCTTGGGAGCAGAGTGTGCAGTCTGGCATATGTTCCAGAATCCTCTGCAACATGCTAGAATTCCAGATCCCTTGGCAAAGCAAGTCAATGAGGAAAGGGTACCTTGGAATTAGAAAGAGTAAAGCCCCACTTGGTTCATACTTGGAAGGTACTTTGGTTCCGGTGTGTTTCCGTAATAGAGAATGAAAAAAGAAAATATTAGAGATGGCCACTCTTTCTAAGTGGCAACTTATTATATGGTATGATGATGATGATGACTTGTTAGATGCTTTTTACCCAAAGGTTACCATTATCTTCCTATATACATAAAAATACAAGGTGTCATCATGCTTATTTGTTGGCAAACAGAGCACTTGTCTTCAGGAAACATGGCAGAGAAAGGAGACCTTGGAATATCTTTACCATCAGTCTATCTACATCTATATCTTCCTGTGTACTCATATACTGCATCCCACAAGAAAGGAAGTTCCGTACTCCAGTAGGGGTTCTCAACTGCCTAAATACCTCTGTGCTACATCACTTTGAGCCAAGCTGGTCTAGAGACTGTAGTGTTGGATTTAAGTTGGGGAAGGCTTGGGTTCAAATTGCTGCTGAGTTGTGTAGTGACTTTGGTGCAGTAAGTGTAACCTTCCTCACAGAGTTATTGTGAGAATGGGGGGGGGGAGGGAGATGTATGCTTCCCTCCCTGAGCTCTTTGGAAGAATGGTGATATATATACATACTATTCTTCCTTCAAGAAGCTCAAACCCTCCCCTTCTCTCATGACACCAGTAGTCATAATTCTTCTCCTATGGACCACTTGAAAATTGCTGTGGGGGTCTCAGTGGATCACTTAATAAACTTTTTTTGGTTCTACAAACCACAGCGCATCCATAATTCATATTTTAATAATGGTAGCCTTGCTCTTCTAGTGTGATGGATGTGCCTGTTTTTGTAAGCAAAATGTTCCACAACCTTTCCACGGATCACCTGAATGGAGATTGTGGGCTACCAGGGGACAGAAACCACAGTTTAAGAGCCTCTGACTCACAACAATCCTGTGAAGTAGGTTAGACTGAGACAGAGTGGCTGGCTGAAGATCACGAAGTGAGAGTCATGGCTAACTGGGGTGCTGTATAAGAGTTCCCCCACTTCTGGTCACCACCACTTTATAATGGCAATCATTTACTGAATGCAATTGATACATAAGCATGAAACATGTTTGTTTCAAACATAGCTTTCCTCTTTAAATGGACATGAGACAGATAAGAACTTATCAGCCTCCTGCTTCTGTGTGTTTTTAAAGGGGAAATCTGCCTTTGAAATACATCTGCACCCTTCATATCATCATCATCATCATCATTTTAAATATATTACCCACCCTTCACTGTGAGGTCCTAAGGTTATAACTATTTAAAATTCAATGTTGTAAACAGAACAAATTACAGGAGTCGGGTAGGTCCTGAAAACACGTATCTTGGGTGTGGAAGGTAAAGAAGTACATCTTTAGCATATAGCAGAAGCTATATAATGAAGGTGGGGAGAGAATTCCACATCCTGGGAGCTGCTACAGAGAAGAGCCTTCTCATCGGCCACTCCCTCCACTCCAAACTTCTGAGGGCAGTGGCACTACTCAGGGGCCCCCCTCTGCTTATCGTAACACCCAAGAGGGACTGCTGGGAAGGAGGCAGTCTTACAAATGTAGGAACTTTTGTGATTAAATAATATAATATCTCCTTGGTGCATAAATGCGGGAATGAAATTCAGCACTTGAATTGCCTAATGTGTGGACAAGAAGGAGAGAGAGAGAGAAAGAAAGAAAGAGCCAAAGGAGACATGGAACTGGGGTCCAGGCTTCAAAATATTGGCAAGGGGAAATGGGTGCATTTTGCAGACATAAAATACAGCATCTCAGCCCACCCCCATGTACTCTTGGAAAAAATAAATATGTGGGCTCTTTAGCCAGGATGGTGTAGAAACTGAGAAGGAAGTCAAGAGTGTAAAATGGCTCTGAATGCCCCTGGGTGCTTTGAAAGCCAGAGAGCTTTTGTGTGCTTTGAGGAAAGACTGTGTTTATTCTTCATGACTTCTCTTTAGTTCGTTCCTGCAGCCAGTAGCCATGCAGCGAAAACACAAAAAATGGGTTTTTGGCCTACTGAACTTTTTGCTACTCTCCAAGGTGCTGAAATGCCAGCCAAGCACTTGCCTTGCTGTCCAAAGTGCTGAAATGACCGCCACTATGCTCTTGCGGCCTGAAAGCCTGTGGGAAACTGCAGTGGATCAAAGAGGAAGCATAGGAAGCTGCCTTATACCAAGTCAGACCATCTAGCTCAGTATGGGTTCATCTAGTATTGTCTACACTGACTGGCAGCAGCTCTCCAAAGTTTCAGACAGGAGTCTCCCTCAGCTCTACCTGGAGATGCAATTTGGCAGTACTACTCAATGGGCTGCTACCCATTTGTTGGGCGGATGAAGTTGCAGGAACCTGGCCAGTCCCTTTTAATAGCTTAGAGGTGGGTCTCCTATAGGGCCCATCCACTCATTCATTTTATTTGTATGCCGCTTTTACACACACACACAAAAACCATGCTCAAAGTAGCTTACAACCAATAAAATCATAGAATTGTAGAGTTAGAAGGCACTTGGGGATCATCTAGTTCAACCCCCTGCAATGCAGGAATCTCAACTGAAGCATCCCTGACAGATGGCCATCCAACATCTGCTTCTCCAGAAAGTTCCCTTCAAAACAAAAATTGAGACGTTATTAGATTCCTGGGGGTGCCTCCCAACTCTAAACTCTCTGGACCTTCAATTATTTTAAAGGGATGGGCAAATGTCTGTCCTGCACCTTCCATCATGGATAGGTTGTTTAGACTGCAGAGCTAAGTCCAGGAAAGATCTTACATAGTGCCAGTAATATCATTATTGGCTCTCCAGAATCACTTAGCTTTGATTCCTACATTTCAGGGGGTTGGACTAGATGACCTTTGGGTTACTTTCAACTCTATGATTCTATGATCTCTCTTAGGCTGAGTGGGTGCAGTTATGGAATAAGAGGTGCTATTTACGCATATAAAAATAATAGTAATGATCATTAGCTCAAAGCCCAGCATTCTGGCTCTACTGTGGTTATATAGCTGTGGCGGTTGTTTGTTTTTAAAGATCAGTACTACCCCATCTGTGTTGTATGCCTCAGCCAGATAGGAAGATGCTCACTTTACAAAGATGCTCACACTGTAAAGATGTTCACATGTTTCTTGGAATCTCACCAGGCTACCTGGGAACATCTTTGTGCTGCAGCGTATGAGAGCTGCTTTGAACACCACAGGAGTAAACGCCAAGACTTTTGCTTGAAAAAGGCAGAGTAAGGAAAGCACATGAGTCAGGGCTGTCATGATGGGCAGGGGTGGGGCAATATTTTCAGGCCAAGGACCACAAGGTATTGGGGGCACAATCCATTAGTTTCCCCTCCTCCCACCCTTCTCTCTGTTTCTCAAACAGAGAGCACTGTTTCTTATGGAAACCAGCATATATTCAATGCCCAGAAACTCCGCTTATCCTTTATGTGTCCTGAGAGCACAAAAGGCAAAACAAATCCCAGTCATCCCAGGAGAATGATTCAGATAAAGTCAATATACAGCTGAACTGTGAACCCTGCTAACTTACAGCAACTTACACCAAGCCTCAAACTTCAAAATGGAACTGCATCCCAAAAATTGCATCGGCACAATTGCAAATGCACATACAGCTTTCTGCATATTTGCAAGGAACACGAGTCCATCTCTCTGCTGACACATTTCCCCCTACTTTGATCTTCTTGCTGAGGAAAGGGCTGCAGTCACACACTTTGTTCAACACCAAAGGTGTTTTCCCTCTCATCTGCTTCCCCCTGAACAGCTGATGGGCAGGAGAGGATCCAGAGTGCTGGATGAAATATGACTGCAGGCTACATCTGGCCCATGGTCTCACCTAACATTGGGAGTGCCTGTGCTCATAACCCACCTCCAATGTCATTTGGTGGTAAGACGGCAAATCCATGTGGCCTTGATTCACATGGTGAGTCCTATTGATTGATGCTGTTGAGGGTGTGGGATGAGGGCTGGGAAACTCTAGAGCAGGTCAGCATCTTGGTTCAGAAAGTACTGCTACACAGCAAAGGTTTGTTCTTGAGATCATGGGATATTCTGGATCCAGGCAGGAAATCTCTGAGGGCCAGATTGGATTATAAAATAAACACAAAGCAGATAGCAATAGATGGATAGATATAGATCACCAACTTACTAATGACTCCTGGATCTTTGCATGAAAAATCTGCAGGTGGAGTTGCACAGGTGGTGTTGCCCCCTTCCCCCCTCCATTGCAATGTAAGAGTTCTCCTTCTGTACATATTCCTATGAAAGATGACTGTTATGTTGAGAAATTGCCTCTGAAGAAGCCAGGCTTGTATCTCTTGGCGGCTTTAACCAGAGGCTGTAAACTGATCCCTCTTCCGAGGATGCTTGCCAGCTGTGAGCTCAGGATGAGAGAACGCTTGCCTCACATTGTGCCACTTTGCAGACTGCAAGGTGATCCTCCAATGCAAGGCTCTCCATTTCCGGGCAGCCTCAGCACTACAAAGGGATCACGATTCCTGGCCCACCCCCATCCGTGGGGAACTGCATCCAAACTCAAATTCTGGAGCTTGAGATCAAATGGATGCCTGTTTCTGCTGCGAGTCAAATGGCACTATTGTAACATGTGCATGCCTGGATGGAAACTGACTCATGATGACTTCTGGGGTGGCGCCATCGGCAATGGCGGACTCCCTCCGAACTGGAGGGACCAGCTCCGCATGAAACGGGTCTTTTCCGCTGAGGCGAAGCAGGGACCCTTCTGGAAATCACAGGCGGACGAAGCCTGTGACCGTGGGACTCGGCGGGCACCCTTAGCGCCCCCCCAACCCGCAAAGGAACCCACAAATGGGCTCCGAAGCGAAGAGGGGGAAGTGGCGCGGTGCTGTGAGTCAATCGCTTTTTCTGCGGAGCGAAGCCGCATAGCTGTTGCCGGAGAGCGCTGCCTTTTTCCTGGGACAATTTGGCATCTAAAGTAACCAACCGTGAGTACTGGAACATTGAATATCTGGACTTTAAATAAGAACTGGCGAAATAGAAAGGAATTTGGACTTAAAAATTCACCTTAATTTGGTACTGAAACGGGAAGGTTTAAACAGGAAGTCAGCCTTCCGTTTCCCTGTAGCCAGAACAAAGCAAAGACAACGCAAACTAGAGATTTAAAAATCACTTTTAAAGGATTGACTTTCATCATTTAAAATCGCTGAACCCCCCTTCGGAAGCATGAGAAGAAGGGGGATCTTTTTTGAGCTGTTTAAACCTGCAGAAGTGAATCTAAAGCAAAGTAATTTTCCACCGTCCTGATCCTGGAGCAGGGTGTCAGAATTGACGTTTGAAGCTCACTGACCAGAAACAAATGTCTTTGACAGATAGTTAAAAGAAGAGAAACATAGTGACTCCATTGCTTCCTTTCGCATCTTAAAAGAACAAATATGGACAAAATATCTTAAAAAAGAAACTTTGTTGCTATTGTTTTCAAGAGAAATAACAACCAGAAGTTTTTCCCCCTAGAGGGGAACTGTGAAATTGTAACTAATCCCTGGGAGCTTGCAGCTGTCACTGATTACAACCGTGGGAAAGGATTTGTGACCTTACAGGACAATGTCTGCAGAAGCACTGTTGGGTGCTTTCTGCAAAATAAATGCCCTATTGGATCAGTTAAGCCAGAAGACGGATTTGATGACTAATGCGACCAGAACCTTTGAACAGGTAGTGGGAAACTACCGTATTTTTCGCACCATTGGACGCACATTTTCCCCTCCAAAAATGAAGGGGAAATGTGTGTGCGTCCTATGGGGTGAATGCAGGCTTTCGCTGAAGCCTGGAGAGAGAGAGGGGTCGGTGCGCACTGACCCCTCTCGCTCTCCAGGCTTCAGGAAGCTCTGCGCAACCCTCGGGAGACCGACTCCGAGGGTTGCGCAGAGCTGCCTGCAGTCCCGGGCTCAGCGCAGCTCTGCGCGGCCACTGGGAGTCCCGCCCCGCTCCGGATGGCCGCGCAGAGCTGCCTGCAGTCCCAGGATCAGCGCAGCTCTGCACGGCCATCGGGAGCAGGGCGCGAAGTCCCGCTCCGCTCCGGATGGCGGCGCAGAGCTGCCTGCCGTCCCCGGCTCAGCACAGTTCTGCGCGGCCACCGGGAGCCGGGTGCGAAGTCCCACCCAGCTCCGGATGGCGGCGCAGAGCTGTCTGCCGTCCCCGGCTCAGCACAGCTCTGCGCGGCCACCGGGAGCCGGGCGCGAAGTCCCGCCCCGCTCCCGATGGCCGCGCAGAGCTGCCTGCCGTCCCCGGCTCAGCGCAGCTCTGCGCGGCCACCGGGAGCCGGGCGCGAGTCCCGCCCCGCTCCGGGATGGCCGCGCAGAGCTGCCTGCCGTCCCCGGCTCAGCGCAGCTCTGCGCGGCCCCCAGGTGCCGGGCGCAAAGTCCCGCCCCCCTCCTGATGGCCCCGCCGAGCTGCCTGCCGTCCCCGGCTTAGCGCAGCTCTGCGCGGCCACCGGGAGCCGGGCACGAAGTCCCGCCCAGCCCCGGATGGCGGCGCAGAGCTGCCTGCCATCCCCGGCTCAGCGCAGCTCTGCGCAGCTACCGGGAGCCGGGCGCGAAGTCCCGCCCCGCTCCGGGATGGCCGCGCAGAGCTGCCTGCCGTCCCCGGCTCAGCGCAGCTCTGCGCGGCCACCGGGAGCCGGGCGCGAAGTCCCGCCCCGCTCCAGATGGCCGCGCAGAGCTGCCTGCAGAGCGCACCTTCCCGCTGTTCCCCAACCTAGTTCTTCCAGCCCCGCACCTGGGGGGGAAATAAAAATATTTTTCTTTATTTCCCCCCCAAAAAACTAGGTGCGCCCTATGGGCCGGAGCGTCCTATGGAGCGCAAAATACGGTATATGGAGCCCACCCAGGAACTAAAACAGGAGCGTGCCATGACAGAACAGCTGAGAGAAGAGGATTCTGCTGAATCTTGGGCGCCAGAGACGGAAGGAGCTGCGGCCCAGCAGGAATATAAATTTTTGGATTTGACAAATGAACTTGGAAAAGACCAAACTTGGAAAGATAAAATCTGGTTTGGTTTGGAAATGGGGGGTTGGATAGACCCCCCTATACAGGGAGATTTGGACTTTCCGAGTCTGGAAAGGGGCCGTCAGATGTCTGGAGCGGTGGGGGCTCTCAACTTTGAAGGGAATCTGGAACATGTTTTTAAATACTACATCGAGTCTAGTCTGGACTATGGGAAAGGGACTGTTTTGTTGAAAAGGGTCAAAAACATTACCAAGCTGGAGTTCCCACGAATAAAAGGAAAATATGAAGAAGAGCTGCGGAAGGGACTTGAGGGCCTTGGATATAAGATTGCCAGGTTAATGTGCTAGATTAATAGGATAAAAAGGACTGACAAAACCCGGGACCAGGAGGAAGGGACGCTGGATGAAGATTGGATTGCTTAATTTTCTATTTTTATCATTAGGACTGTTTTACAAAATTGATGAATGTTAGGAAAATGTTGAAATGAAATTATTTGGCTCTTATAAAAATGTCTAAAGAATTAGGTAAGAATGTTATGGTTAGGAGAAGTTGGTAAAAATTAAGATTTAAGTTCTAAACTTTAAGGTTTTATATATATATATATATATATATATATATATATATATAAGATAAGATGAAAATAGATTAAGGTAATGTGAGGACAGAATATTATGAATTATGGAAAGGATTTGCTGTGATTATTATAAATCAGGATACAGGAAAAGGGAGGAGGAGGAGGTCAAGGAAAGAAGGTATTGAAAGTGGAGAATTGGAGAATGATGGTTTTACTTTTTTCTTTTTCTTTTATTGTCTTGTTTTTTTCTTTTGTGTAATTTAAAAAAAAATCTCAATAAATATCATTTTTTTAAAAAAGGAAACTGACTCATGATATCCTTGAAGGCAGGAGCAAGTAAGGAGAAGGGCCCACAGGGTGGTATGTGCCAGTGGGTCCAAATTGCACACCTGTTGCATCTATTGATCCTGTGGTTGGCAAGGGGAAAGCCAGGACATGTGCAAGGTGGCTGGCTTGGGGGCAAAACAGGTTCATGCAGTTTCAAGAAAAGCTACAGGTGAACAGACAGCCAGGTCAGCAGGGCATCATTCAGGGTTGGTGTTAGTTCACGGATGCTGGGGGTGAGTGGCTCCAGAGTGCAAGAAGGCCTGGGGCAGCAGCAGCAGCTCCCAACTCTCCTGTGGCATCTAATTCTCTCTGAGTTGTCCTCATTCACCATCCTTATATTCCTAACTTGCTCTCCAAGACAAGACAGTACATAAGAAGAGCCTGCTAGATCAGGCCAATAGCCCATCTACTCTAGCATCCTCTTCTCACAGTGACCAACCAGACCAGATGTTTGTTGGAAAACAGCAAGCACAAAAGCCCTCTCCCCTTGCCTGGCTTCCTGGAGCTGGTATTCAGAAGCATCACTACCAACAACCATGAAAGTGGAACAGAGCCATTGTGGCTAGTAGCCCTTGATAGCCTTATCCTCAATTAGTTTGCCCAGTGCATGCATATGCAGTGGTACCTCGGGTTACAGACGCTTCAGGTTACAGACTCCGCTAACCCAGAAATAGTACCTCGGGTTAAGAACTTGGCTTCAGGATGAGAACAGAAATCGCTTGGCTGCGGTGCAGTGGCAGCAGGAGGCCCCATTAGCTAAAGTGGTACCTCAGGTTAAGGACAGTTGCAGGTTAAGAACGGACCTCCAAAACGAATTAAGTTATTAACCCAAGGTACCACTGTATGGCATTTGTATATTGCTTAATCATTAGCATTTCTAAATGGTGTGCATAAAAATAAACCACGTGGAAAATAAAATAATAAAAAGTAATCATAATACCAAGCAGAAACCCGAACACCAGCTGAAAATGCCTGCTGGAATAAGAAAGTATTTTATCATGCACCTAAAGTTCAACTTGACTGTCTAATCACAGTCAAGAGGGCAGTCCACAGGCTTGGGCTCCCAACACGGAATGCATGACTTCTGGTAGTAATGAACTTTACGTGTGAGTCACGGGGCCACTGGCAGAGAACCTCCCACCCACGATCTCAGTGACTGGGCAGGGATATAAAGCATTGTGATATTTCATCACCATTGATCATTTATTTCCATTCATTGTGTATCCTGCTTTTCTGCTTAGGAGAAAATGTATAGCACATCAATAAGTGCAACAGAAATGAATGAGAGTAAATCAAAGCCCCCACCCCACTCCTAAAAAACAGAAGGCATCTTAGCGTATTAAAAGGCCTAGTCCACTGAAAAGATTCAGATGCCTGTTGGAATAAAAAGGTTTTTCTCAGCCCATCAAATGGACCTTCCCTGTAATAGCTCCCCTCCCAACCACCCTGTCTCTGGAATGAGTGCCCTAGGGAGGCATGCCTGGCGCCAACTTTGCTATCATTTCAGCGTCAGGTAAAACCCTTTTTATTCTCTTGGGCATGTGGGGAGCTTTAATGATATTGTTGCTACAGCTCCTCAATCCAACCTTCACAGTGTGTGTTTTTTCCATTGCTATTGTACTGATACCATGTATTGTCTGAATACGTTTTGAATGAAGTTTTATCTATCTATCATCTATCTATCTATCTATCATCTATCTATCTATCTATCTATCTATCTATCTATCTATCTCTATATCATCTATATCTATATCTATCTATCTATCTATCTATCTATGTATATATAAATATAAAAAATCAAATTGAAAGGGTAGCAAAGATGGAGCTGGATAGACCTCCTTCCTTTGAAAGGATATTCCATACTGATGGTACCACAACCAAGAAGGCTTTGTCAATTCTGCGCATCAGGTGCACCAGTAGTGGTAGGGAAGAGGCAGGGAAACACATGCCGGATCCTAGATCCCACAACAGGCCATTTTGATTGGTGGGTTTACCCACAGGAATCATTTTGTTACACCAAGTGACTTTGTGTCCTTTTTTGATGTAGGACAAGGAAAATTCAATCTCCTAGCCTGTCTCCCAATTTGTGCTGGCTGATCATTAAGAGCCAATTCTGTAGCTCAACTTTGAACATCTTCTATCTTTGTTATGGCTTATAGCTTGGCAAATAAAATTGCTGCTGCTACCTTGCCTATTTTATAAATGCCCGCTAACACAGGAACAACAACTATATTTTTATCCCACCTTTTTCTCCAAGGAGCTCAAGGTGGCGTATATCGTTCTCTCTCTCCTCCTTTAATCCCTGCGATAACCCTGTGAGGTAGGTTAGACTGAGAGGCAGCGACTGGCCCAAGGTCACCCAGTGAGCTTCGTAGTCAAGTGGGGATTTGGACTGTAGTCTCCCAGGTCCTAGTCCAACACTCTAACCACTACACCACACTGCCTCTCAAAAGACATGGCTGCCACTGTGTGGAGTGCTCCCCCCCCCCAATGGCTGAGAATTCTGAAGTTTCCTTGCAGAAAAGCAGAGAAAGATCAGAGAAATCAAGCACACAGAGAAACACAAGCCCTTGACCATGTTGCTCCAGCCGCTTCTTCAATTTGCTCCCCCACTCTTATGCTTTTTTGCTCTTTTAGCAGCTAATTTCTCTAGGGTTTGGGAGGGGAGGAGCAGGGGACAATCAGCTGCTCCAAGAGAGTGAAGATAAGCAGAGATGAATGGCAGAAAGGTGGTCAGGGTCTCCTGGTTCCTTGTGGGCTCGGCCCTTTGATCCCCTCCAGCTGCCTTTGTCTGCCTTCTGGGTTTCTTCAATCCGTTCTCAACTGTCAGGTCCTGGCACAGATGTGGCTCCTTTGGACGTGATGAATGTTAACACATAGCCAGGCTCTTAGAAGGGAAGCATCCCCATGGGGAATGTTTTCCTGAGCTCCTAATTGATTCCTCCATAGGCAGCGCCTGTCCATCAGCATCACCTTTAATCTCCATCTTCCTGCTCCATTGCATGAGAAACCTCCCATGTCCATTCTGAGCTCGGTTGCATGGGGGTTCTACCCTGGGTCTACACAGTCACTGCAGGAGGGAAGATTCTCTGCTGTCTGTTCTGTTACTGCAGAAGGAACATACTAAACAGGTTTCTCTGCACTTATCCGAGGAGACTTTTACGTTCTGGCTTCTAGGAAATGTAGTAATTGGATGTTTCCCTCATCTTCCGGAAATGTTATTTACTGCCAAACATCACTGTAGCTGTGCTTCCCAGCTGAGTCTAATGATCTCCAGCAGTTTGTGTCCAGGTTTGTCTTGCCGAAACTTCACATGCACCATGAAGGGTTCTTAGTCTCTTCCTCTCTGGCCAATTAACTGTGGGAGACATACCAATCTATTTGTGCTGCTTCAAGGTGGGGGGGGGGAAAGGTGGGTCATTCTAAGTTTCTGGATATTTGCTCACGAGAACTTTTTAAATAAGTAGTGTAGTTTGAAGCTGGCAGTGCAATATCTCACATGCTGATTCTGCACCATGCATGAGCCATTGCAGATTGGCTGCAACTGGGTGCAAGAAGAGTTGGCCATTCTGGATTTAAGCAAAGACAATCCGCAGTGATGACCAGTGTGCGTTGGGACTGGTAGGGCAGAAGGCAGGGAGCCCAACAGTAGGTGGCGCCAGAGCCAATGACAGGCAGAGCCAACTAATCCTAGTTTTGTCCCCATTCTCCTCTTCCTTGGTGAATTCTACAAGGGCAGCACAGAAACTAAGGAGGACGTTGACAGCTAGGGTCACATGTTCAATGAGTTGTAAGTAGGAAGGCAGGCAGGTGGGGGCAGGCTGAGGTTGCTGAGGCAATGCTCCATTTGCCCTAATGGATCAGTCACCATTGCCTAGTCCTTCAGGCCTAATCTGCGCTACATATATATATTGGGGTTTCCGCCAGTGTAGCTGTTGTGGCTTCCTCTTGAGAGTCATGGGAAGTGTAATTTCGCAAGGGTGCTGAGAATTCTCAGAGACTCTCGCCCACCCCTTCACAGAACTACATTTCCCAGGGTTACCTGTGGAAGGCAGCTGACTGTTAAACCTGTGCAGATATGCCACAAGCATCCTCTTGGAGGACCAAATGCCTGACTCCTGGCCTAGCCATCCTCTGCTGAGCATGTCCCACTTCCTTCCCTGCCAGACATCCGCAGCCACCACAAATTGCAGGCTCTCCACGCCATGTCATCTGCCTTTTGTGCTGACTGTGCCATAATTATCTGTTTTGATTTGTGTCGCATCCCTCTAATTTAGACGTCCTTGCATGTTGTGCCGCTCATTTCTTCTAATTGCTGCTAGGCGCTCAGCTGACTTCTCCCTCTCCCTTTCTCTTTTTTGCATTTACATCCTCCCCCTTCCCTTTCTCCTCCTACTTCATCTGATTCCAAGTAAATTTAGCGTACCTGAAAAGGAGGCAGATGGATCAAACCAACCCCTTGAATCCTGTGACTTTGCAGGAGGGAAAACTACACTGTTGGCAGTTCTACACTGTCCTGTGGTTGCATTTTGATCTTCACCTATTAGGGTGAAAAATCAAAATCAAAGGTGGATCAGGTGCCCAGAACAGAAGTGAAGGCAGTCTTGGACTTAGAGGTAGATGAATGGGTGAATCTGTTTTCTATCCATATAACTATTACATGTGTTCAGCTAGAAGTCTGCTCCATCCTGTAGCTCCATGGAGGAGTGCATGTCTTGCGTCCAGGAGACTCCAGGTTCAGTTTCTAGAAAGCTGGGAAAGATTCCCTATCTGAGATCTCAGAGAGTTGCCATCAGTCAGCATGGACAATACTGAGCTAGATGGACAAATGGTCTGATTCAGTATAAGCTTCCAGGAATGGCCTGGCTCAGTACTCTCTACACTGACTGGAGCAGCTGTCCAGGGTTTAAGGCAGGCGTATCACTCAGCCCTGTCTGGAGATGCCAGAGACTAAACCTGGATCCTTCTTCATGTCAAGCAAATGTTCCACCACTAAGCTATGGTCCTTCCCTCAATATGAAGCCCTCCAGCTTGATGAATTGTCATTGACTGGCTGGATGCAGAGGAGTGCAAGAGGCTGAAAACCACATTAAAGCACATGTTGATATTATATATGTTGGGATAGGCTTGCCTAAACAAAAGTGTTTTGAGCAGGTGCTGAAACAAGTACAACAAAGGCACCTGCCTGATGTCAATAGGCAAGGAGTTCCAAAGCTTCATTTCTTACAAATACAGTATTATGTGGCATCTGTAACAGCGCCAGTTCTGCAGATGGAAGCAGTTGAGTGGGCACATGTGGGGTAAGCCAGGGGTCAGCAAACTTTTTCAGCAGGGGGCCGGTCCACTGTCCCTCAGACCTTGTGGGGGGGGGGGCTGGACTATATTTTGAAAAAAAGAATGAATGAATTCCTATGCCCCACAAATAACCCAGATGCATTTTAAATAAAAGCACACATTCTACTCATGTAAAAACATGCTGATTCCCAGACCGTCTGTGGGCCGGATTTAGAAGGCCGGTGGGCCACATCGGGCACCCGGGCCTTAGGTTGCCTACGCATGGGGTAAGGCAATCTTGCAAGGCCCACATCCTGACTTTCTCCAGTTGTAGCTAAGCCATGCCCACCCCTTTAGCATTTCATAAGCAACAGCTTAGAAGATGCAACAAAGGGAGCTGCCTTATACTGAGCTTGACCATTGCTCCATCCACATCAGCATTCTCTACACTGACTGGCAGTGACTCTCCATGGTTTCAGGCAGGGGCTTCTCCCAGCCCTGTCTGGAGATGCCAGGAATTGTGTTCTGCATTACAGAGAACATACCTCTAGTTCAAAAGCTGCCCAGTTCAAGTCTGATTTAAAAATAAAGAACTGTAAGAAGGGAGAGCTGTGTGGAGGGTTACAGTTGCTGGTCAACTGTTTCAGCACCATGGATAGCAGGCAGAGCATGCACACAAGGCAACGAACCACAATCTTCCTCACCATGGGAAAATGCACTGTGTAGTTCTGTTTCAAGTATAGCAGTTGTTTCTAAATTTGCATCCATGCATATAAAGGAGCAGGCACAGATTTCCTGCAAATCTGAGCCTCCTTTTCTTTGCTTCGTGATGCGTTGCCTCTTCTGTGGTGTTATGCAAAGGGTCGCCCCATCCACCCTTTGCTTGTTCACAGCAATTGCAGGAGAACTGTGCCTCTATCCAAGACTGTGGGTAATAGTGCTGTCTCCCAATCTTTGGCTCCCATGCTGGGCTCGCACGATGTGCTTGCTGCCAGTGCTGCAGCAGAGAGGTGTGGGAGGATGTGAGCCCATAATTGGCACCTTTCCTTTGAAGTGAGAGCCTAAAGCTTTTTCCACTTGGGAGTGTGAGGATCTGTGCTAATAAGCCTGATGGCATTGTAGGCACCAGTTGGAATCTGCAGAGCCCACGGCCTCCGAGATCAAAATGGGCCTAGACAGCCTCAGTGGTCCCCCCTCCCCTTTGCAGTGTGATGAGTCCTAGAGTTGCTTCAGGCCTCACGCCCACACTAAAGATGGAGGCGGCTGGAGATGAGAACCTATTTGCACACTAGGCAGGCTGCAGGGGGGTGGAATTATGGACTGCACTACTTTAGGATGCAACTGAGGGTGTGAGTCTCATATTTGTGAATACTTTCTCTATGGAAGAGGGTTTTTTGGGGGGGGAATGCATGTCGTAAACTAGGACACAGGGGAGACAGTGGCGGAGCTTCATGCTCCAGCACCGGGGGTGGGGGGCGGAGAGCAGGCGGGGGCGGGGCTGGCACACGTCCCGGGAGCATGGCGCGCCGCCTGCAGGGGTGTGGCATGTTTCCTGGGGACATGGCACGCCACCTGCAGGGGCAGGGCGCCCAGCACAGGCGGGGGGCAGCCACGATGGCACCCTGGGGATCGCGCTGCTGAGGGTGGTGTGCTCCCCCAACACACCAGAGCCTAGGGCTTGCTGATCAGAAGGTCAGCAGTTTGAATCCCCGTGACGGGTTGAGCTCACGTTGCTCGCCAACCTAACAGTTTGAAAACACATCAAAGTACAAGTAGATAAATAGGTACCACTCTGGTGGGAAGGTAAACGGTGTTTCCGTGCGCTGCTCTGGTTCGCCAGAAGCAGCTTAGTCATGCTGGCCACATGACCCAGAAGCTGTACGCCGGCTCCCTCAGCCAATAAAGCGAGATGAGCGCCGCAACCCCAGAGTCATCCGTGACTGGACCTTATGGTCAGGGGTCCCTTTACCTTTTACACACACACACATACACACATACACTATATGTGCATACATGCACACACACCAAGGAACATAATCCAAAAATTATCATGCCTCATATCATCCCAGCAATGGTTGAAGTGCTGCTTCCTTCTCATAAAATCAGGCTGGCGTAACTCTGTGACTGCTGTGGGACAGAAGGTCATTTGAAAACCCAGCAGCACAATTGCATCTGGTTGCAAATCCAAATATGTTCATTTGAAAAACTCCCTTAGTCTAGTAAGCTAGCATCTAAAGGAACAGGCTGTTTGACGCCTTTCTCCATAATGTGTTCTTTACTACATAGGGGTAGCATATTTTTAAAGTTTGGCATTTGCCTGTCACTACCATGGATGGATCTCTCCATTTTTGTTTCTCTCTGTTTCTCATTTTTCCAGTCTTAAATTCAGCTCTCCGCGTTTCCACATCTTGTGATTTTTTCTTAATTGCCCTCATAAAAATTCATCAGCATTTTAGTGTGAATTTATTCAAATAGACACATTTTCCTAGGCAATTTTGCCTAATATGCATTTTTGTATGTTATTTCATTATTATATGCATTTTTATGCACACTTTACTTGACTGGAGTAATGACAGTGCAAAATTCACAGAAGTGCAAATTTCAAAGGATAAGTGTGTTTCAGGTTATGTAGTTATCTCAAAAAATGTGATTTAGGTAGGCTTACCTGTAAATGCAGACTGATTTAAATTTCTCCTCCATCTCAAATCACCACCCAGAGCTAGATAAGCTAATGATGGGGAATCTCAAGCCCAGTGACTAAACGTGACTCTCCAGGCCTCTCTCTCCGGCTTTTGAGACTCTCCCTAGGCCACACCCCTTCTTTGTAGGCCACACCCCTCCTTTGTAGGCCACACCCCTCACTGGCTCTGTTTCATTCCTTCCTTGAGTGTTTTTGATAGGCTGGAATGTGTCCTTGAACTCTGATGATGCCTCTTAATTGCCTGAATGGAGGACAGCTTATTCACCTGGGGGAGCAGCAGGTGAATCGGGAGACCCTGGGTAGTTTGGCATCCCTTGTAAACACCCTGCAAGCAAATCGGGGTGGAGACTCATTGCCATATAACACATACCCTCCAGCATTTCTCTGATGAAAATAGGAACATCCCATAATAATAATTTTACTATTTATACCCCACACATCTTACTGGGTTGCCCCAGCCACTCTGGGCAACTTCCAACATACATAAAAAACATAACAAAGCATTAAACATATATAGGATTAAACATATATAGGATTGCCTTCAGACGGCTTGGGGGTGGGGTCCGATAACTGCATATCCTCCAACATTTCTCCAGTGAAAATAAGGGCATCCTAAGGAAAAGTGGGACATTCTGGGATCAAATCAGAAATTGGGATGGCTTTTCTAAATCAGGGACGTCCCTGGAAAATCTTGACACTTGGAGGGTCTGATATAACAGCCCTGCATAGAGCGGATGCTCAGTAAAGGCGAGTCACTGTCTAACCACCTTGTGAGCTTTGTGCAGGCAAATCAGGGTGGATGCTGAACAAACAGGTTGTTTGCAGACAACCTTCTGTGTGGCTGTTAAAAAGGCACAGGAGCCAGCTAATGGAAAGTGGCAACCTTCACCGGTCTCTACCTCCACATCAAGCAGGAAAACAACAATAAAAACACAGATTTTGCTTGGCCTTCTCTCTGATTCCTTCCCTCTTCTGTCAGAAATGGGTGTGGGATGGGAAGAAGAGGCTACTGGGAAGCCGGAAGAACCCAGAGGGTTTGTGGGCAGTCCCCTCATTGGGAAGCTTCCCATTGAGCTTGCCACCCAGCCAGACATAATCTGACTCATTCATATTTATTTACCAACCATCCTTCCCTTCCGCCACCTGGCTTGGGAGTTATCGCCATGTTCCATCTGCTTGAGGTCGGGATAATTCCAACGGCGGTCTTCCCTTCCCTTGCACCCCCTGCCATGTGCCTAAAATAAATAATCCCCTTAGGGGAGCATACACACATGTGCACACATGGAGTTTGCCAGTTTCACATTGTCAGAAACAGATGCACAAAATGCACACAAGAGAAAAAAGAGGACACAATTTTTGCAGGAACTGTGCCCATGCTGTTGCCTGCACCTAGGTGCACGTTTAGAAAGAGTGACTCTGATTTAAATGGAAATAGAGGACAGTGACTCTTCAGGATCTCGATCCAAAGGTCTTTCCCCCATCACTTGCTACCTGAGAGGCTTTTGAACTGGTTATGATGGGAATAGAGTCTGGGCTCTCTTGCACAGCAAGCACTCACTCAACATGCTATGATCCAGTTTTCAACCTAAGTGAGCCTGGGATGGATGCAAGCTTCTACCAAGTCATTTAACAGGGAGCTGCCTTAGACTGAGTCAAACAACTGGTCTATCTAACTCAGTATTGTCTTCACTGACTGGCAGCAGCTCTTCAGGGTTTCAGATAATGAGTCTATCCCAATCCTACCTGGAGATGGCAGGGAGTGGACATGGGACCTTCTGCATTTAGAGCAGGTGCTCTACCACTGAGTAATGACCCTAATGAAGAAGTCCCCGACTTTTTAAGGCAGTCTATCAAACAGCTTTCACAGCCAGGAAGCTCACCTTATCCTTTTTATTGTGATTTGAACTGCTAAGTTTGAGGCTTCACCTCCAGGGCAGCAATAGCCTCTCTAGATGTTGAGGAACTGCCTTAAGACCCATAGCCAATGGTGAGGGATGATGAAAGCTGTAGTCCGGCAACATCTAGCAATCCCTGATCTACAACAATAGGAAAGACATTTGCGCCATCATATATTTGACCATGGCAAGGTGGCTATCATAGAATTGTAGAGTTGGAGGGGACCCAAGTCCAACCCCCTGCAATGGAGGAATCTCAACTAAAGCATCCAAAACAGCATCATAGGTAAAGGTAAAGGGACCCCTGACCATTAGGTCCAGTCGTGGCCGACTCTGGGGTTGCGGCACTCATCTCGCTTTATTGGCCGAGGGAACCAGCGTACAGCTTCTGGGTCATGTGGCCAGCATGACTAAGCCGCTTCTGGCAAACCAGAGCAGAACATGGAAACACTGTTTATCTTCCTGCCGGAGCAGTACCTATTTATCTACTTGCACTTTGACATGCTTTTGAACTGCTAGGTTGGCAGGAGCAGGGACCAAGCAACGGGAGCTCACCCCGTTGCAGGGATTTGAACCGCTGACCTTCCGATCGGCAAGTCCTAGGCTCTGTGGTTTAACCCACAGTGCCACCCGTGTCGTACAGCCTCTTAATTGTCTCTTCTCTAGTCAAGATACATCAACTCCTTTAACCTTTCCTCCTAGGCCATTGTCAGCTTTGTCAATCTCCTTTGGGGGGTGGGTCTCCTTTGGAGCGGAGGGTAGTGGGAGGCAAAGATTCAGTGTTGTGATAATTGTACTGGAAGCTGCCTGGTGAAGTATCTAAAACTAGAAGAGTGATGGAAACATATGTTCAGTGGTTGGGATCTCTGTAACTTAGCAGTGGGGAATCCAAGGCATGAAGATCAAATGTGGCCCTCCAGGCCTCTCTTTTTGGCCCTCATGGCTCTTCCCAGACTACCCCCTCAAGTGTTTGTGTCTGGGTGGAATATGTCACTGAACTCCGATAACGCCTCTTGCTTATCTCTGTGTGTGTGTCGTTTGTAGAAACTAGCCTACTGCACAAAGATACATTTTACCTTCATTGCTGCTCCCACTTTTGCCCATGCCAAAATGCCAGCATGTGGCCCCTGGAAAGTTGCTCCGAAGGAAATGCGGCCCTCTGGCTGAAAAAGGTTCCCTCTCCCTGCCAGAACTCCTGGCTAAAATAGTAAACATTGCAAAATCAATCCTGTCTCCTAAGAGAGGGCACGCCTTACTACTCTGTGCCATTTAAACAGGGTGCAGAATCTAGTTCTCTTGGCCACTGCGTTCTTGTGGGGCAGAATGTGGGGTGGTGCAAATGGAGAGGCTACCAACGGCTCTTCAGAAGAAGGAGGAGGGAACCACCCAGCATCTGTATTCCATTCCTCTCCCAGCCAGCTGCCTTAACTGAAGGAAGGCCTGTTGTCTGTCAGTGGAGAGGAAAGCATGACTGTTGAGCATCTCTCTCTCTTTCTCTCTGTGTGTGTCTTTGTGGGGTTTCTCCAAGCCAGCTGGCTCAGCATAGAAAGAAACAGGCAGTCATCTGCATTGGCACGTGATTGCAAGCAGCGTCCAGGCCGGCAGACAGCAGATCCTAGCCTTGCTTCAAACATGTCTGTGCTGGCGAGTCTCCTGGGATGCAGACTCTTTGCTTCCTCCCTCCCTCTCCCTTTCAAGGTTTTTTTTTGGGGGGGTGCACCTCCCAAGGCAAATGGGATGTGACAGGCTGTGGGGCTGCTGCCGTTTTGGGGCCTTCCCAGTCCAAGGCCTGGCCAGTGGAAGGCACCCTTAATAATTCATGGGCTTATTTATAGACTGAAAAAGCACTTTAGAAATACATCCCGCGAGGGCAAGGGGAAGGCAGTGCCGTTGCCAACTTTTCAACCAGCTGCCGCAGCTGTGCCTTAGTGGCAGGTTGGTGCACAGGTGTTAGGGCATGGGTGGTGTATCTTGGGCCCAAGGGTCAAATGCGGCCCTCCAGGCCTCTCTGTCTGGCCCTTGGGACTCTCCCAGACCACACCCACTCAGCAGACCAATTCCATTCCCTCCTTGGGTGCTTTTGCTTGGCTGGAAAGGGCCTTTGAGCTCTGATCATGCCTTTTGCTTGCCTGAATTTATCGATAGAGATGGCGGGTGTGAATGTGCATAGAAACTAGATTACGGTACAAAAGTTAAATTCACATTCATTACTATGCCCCTTTGGCCCCTGGCCCTGCCCACCACTGCCGTGTGGCCCCTGGAAAGTTTCCCAGAAGGGAATGTGGTCCTCGGGCTGCAAAATGTTCCCTGCACCTGTGTTAGGAGGTAATAACAAGTTGCTTTTGTCATCAAAAGATTCCCTTGCCAATTTCTGCTGTTCGATGCACAAGAGCAGGCCAAAGTGATTTTTTCAGGTCAGCTGGCAACACAAGAAGGAAAGAAGTGTCCCTGCCTCCTCTGTCTAAAATTTCAATTCTCTCCCTAGCTCCCATCCTTTCTGTTAAGTTGTGGGTGAACATATCAGACGACACAACGATTCTTCAAACAGCTCTTCTTTATTCAGATGCCAGAACAGAACTGAACTGAAGGGCTCAGTCAGCCTGCTTATATAGAGCTCCAGAACAACGTAACTGTTGCAACTTTCTAAAACTATCCAATCACTGAACGTCACTTTTGATCCTTCATTTGCATACAAACTATCCAATCACTGAACATCACTTTCGATCCTTCATTTGCATAACTATCTACAGTATCCCCCTGCTGGCCCAGGGTGAGAACTTCAGTACATAACACTTTCCATGAAGAAAAACAGCAGCAATTGCTTTATGTGCTGTGGGCAGTTGTCAAGGCTGCAGAGGTGGCTGATGCCCATTGGGGCTGGTGGGGCAGAAGGCAGGGAGTCCAACTGCAGATGGAGTCAGAGCCAATGGCAGGCAGAGCCAACTGGTTCTAGTGTTGACTCCATCTTCCTCTCTGCTGAGTTCTGCAAGAGTAAAACTGAAACGAAGGAGGAAGGAGCTGATGGCTCGTGCCACACCCTGGGGCCAGTTGTAAGAGGGGACCTGGCTGAGAGCAGACTGAGGTTGGTGCCTCATTTGCTCCAAAGAACCAGCCTCCACTGTGTTGCTCTTTTCCAGCAAAGGAGTGTTAACGTGTGGGATGGTGGCAGCCAGATTTCTCCCTCTAGTGGCCAACTTGGATAGGGCCTGAGGATCACTATGGATGGCAATTGGCCTTATAGATGCAGCGAAGGGAGGTGTCTGCCTGCTCGGAGGGACCCCCAAGATTTACAAAAGCACATGGGTTTTTTAAAAAAAGAACAAAATTCCCTAACACACACACACACCTTCTGCATATGGGTGCACTAATGGAGAACAGGGGAGGTGCAAATGTTTAATAAGAGGAGGAGGAGGAAGCAAGAGGGCAGAGGGAAATAAGAAAATCCAAGCAACAGTTTGTCTTGGTCCCACACACATTCTAACTCCTGACAACAGCCGGCTGTTTGTCAATCAGTTTCGTGTACTGGAAATAACCATTTGGAGTCTACAAATTCTGATTTCTTACTTGCTGCACGTTTGAGCTATTGCTTGTGCTTTGTTTTTTTCATCCCCCCCCCTCCCCATTCTTATTAAACATGAAATTCTGTTGAATGCAATACTGAGGCGCATAAGATACTGATAATGGCTTACATTAGCTAAGGCTTTATTGATTGTGTATACCTCAAGATGCAAGTGTGCACTTTAGTTCAGAGCTGGCCAGTGTCTGGACTCTCTGGGGCCACACTATTCTCTGGACTGAGGGACAGGGCTGGAAATATATTTTACCACATCATTTTGTTCAGCTCTTTAAGTGATCAAGCTCTGTAACCAAGATGGCACCATCTAGCAGCCAGAACATCACAACTATGGTCTGCAAATGCTCTGGTCCAGCAATGCACTGTGTTGCACACTGTACTGAAATCAGGCCCTGTGAATTATCTGTGCTGTGACCTGCTAAGCACAAGCCAATCTCCAGACCTGTCTTCCTATCCATCCATCTCTTGGCTCAGGGAAATCCCTGCTACAGGCCTGCATTAGGAGTCCTGCCAGGCAGCTGGGTAAAACGGCCCCCTGTAAACAAACCAGAAAAGCTACCCAAGCGTGTGTGAATTCTGAATTTAGGTTCAATGGATAACACATATGCAAAATGAAGTGTGACCTTAAAAGTGTGGGATTTAAAAATATGTAAAATGTTTGTATCCTCCTGTTCTAGTAATATTGGGTCCAGCATTTAAATAAAGGCAATAGATAAATCATGAGGGTTTTAAAAAAAATAAAAAATGGTGACGATGCTTATGGCCAGAGGTAACTGGAAAGAAAAAGGATGAAGACTCTTTGGAAACAAGGCACTTTCAATCCTAGAAAAGAATCTAGGAGTCTTGGTTGACCACAAACTTGACATGAGCCAACAGTGTGACGCGGCAGCTAAAAAAGCCAATGCAATTCTGGGCTGCATCAATAGGAGTATAGCATCTAGATCAAGGGAAGTAATAGTGCCACTGTATTCTGCTCTGGTCAGACCTCACCTGGAGTACTGTGTCCAGTTCTGGGCACCGCAGTTCAAGAAGGACACTGACAAACTGGAACAGGTCCAGAGGAGGGCAACCAAAATGGTCAAAGGCCTGGAAACGATGCCTTATGAGGAACGGCTAAGGGAGCTGGGCATGTTTAGCCTGGAGAAGAGGAGGTTAAGGGGTGATATGATAGCCATGTTCAAATATATAAAAGGATGTCACATAGAGGAGGGAGAAAGGTTGTTTTCTGCTGCTCCAGAGAAGCGGACACGGAGCAATGGATCCAAACTACAAGAAAGAAGATTCCACCTAAACATTAGGAAGAACTTCCTGACAGTAAGAGCTGTTCGACAGTGGAATTTGCTGCCAAGGAGTGTGGTGGAGTCTCCTTCTTTGGAGGTCTTTAAGCAGAGGCTTGACAACCATATGTCAGGAGTGCTCTGATGGTGTTTCCTGCTTGGCAGGGGGTTGGACTTGATGGCCCTTGTGGTCTCTTCCAACTCTATGATTCTATGATTCTATGATTCTATGATTCTATGATTCTATGATTCAGTGGCAGCTGATGCCCCTTGTAACTGGTAGGGTGGAAGGCAGGGAGCCCAACAGTAGGGGGAGCCAGAGCCCATGTCAGGCAGAGCCAACTCAGTCTAGCTTTGACTCCATCCTCCACCCAGATTCAGTCTGTGGCATTTCTGGGTAGGGAAACCTGGAGAGTTGCTGCCAGTCAAGACAATACTGAGCTTAGATAGACCAGTGGTCTGATCTGTGTAAGGCAACTTCCTATGCTTCCTAATCTGTTCTCTCCTAGAAGACCAATATTAAACATGTGGGCTTCCCTTGCACCACCACCGCCCACTCTTGCAAGCCCCAGGATTAAGTTGCTATCAAAGCTGCCACCTTTGGTTGCTGTGGTTACGGCCGGAAAGTTTCATTCACATGACAATAGCAGAGCAAGACGAACTCAGCAACCAAGATTTCACTAAAGGAAAATTGGCTCAATTTCCAACCTTCTGCTTAGTTTACTGGAGAGAGCGGCAGACTCAGGACTCGCACTCGCTGAGGGGGAGGGATCTCTGGGCTGTCAGAGGGAGCTTGGTTGATGGAATGCTGCTTCGTGTAAAACATTCCCCATGGATAGGGATGGGGAAGAAATTCACTGAAAGGTATTGTACTGAAAAGGCAATGTATCAAAGTTGCAATTTCCATATCACTGTGAGAACCAACATGTGGTGTAGTGGTTAAGAGTGGTGGACTCGTAATCTGGTGAACTGGGTTTGCATCTCCGCTCCTCCACATGCAGCTGCTGGGTGACCTTGGGCTAGTCACACTTCTCTGAAGTCTCTCAGCCCCACACACCTCACAGAGTGTTTGTTGTGGGGGAAGGAAGGGAAAGGAGAATGTTAGCTGCTTTGAGACTCCTTAGGGTAGTGATAAAGTGGGATATCAAATCCAAACTCCTCCTCCTCTTCTTCTTCAAAATTCGCACATACCTGAATTTTTGGGTGCAGTTTTCCAAGCAATCAAAGTTTACAAAAAAGCATATATTATAGGGGAAAGTGCTCATGAAAATTAATATGCAGTGGTACCTCGGGTTACACACACTTCAGGTTACAGACGCTTCAGGTTACAGACTCTGCTAACCCAGAAATAGTACCTCGGGTTAAGAACTTTGCTTCAGGATAAGAACAGAAATTGCACGGTGGAGGTGCAGCAGCAGTGGGAGGCCCCATTAGCTAAAGTGGTACCTCAGGTTAAGAACAGTTTCCGGTTAAGAATGGGCCTCTAGAACGAATTAAGTTCTTAACCCGAGGTACCACTGTATTTGTGAAAATAACATTCCTAAATGCATTATATTAGGAAAAGTTGCTTTGCAAAAAGATGTACATTTCGTCAAAACTGTATGCAAAGATGGAAGAAATTCACTGCTGATGAAGTAAGCAAAGCAATACCCATTGCCAGTCACAGCCATGCCCCCTCAAAGCCGTACCCGCTTCTAAGATTATGCAACCTTCTAAGATTGTACAATACTGCTATTATACAATATTAATTAGGGATGCATTGCAACAGTTAGTGCTGATCTCCATGTGTTGCCTTTCAGCCAGATTTACTATTTTCTGTAGACATACATGGGCAAATGGTTTGGAGTATTCCAATATCTTCTTTTGAAGTGACTTAAGTTGTGTTTTCCTTGAAGTTCCATAATATGTAACAGAACTTGAACACCATTCTCTTTTAAACTAAAGCTTCCCTTCCATTTTCTGTGTTCCTAAATGCTTAGCTTTGGAGCAACTCTTCCTATGGTGTTCTTCCTATGCACAGAGTGACCCTAGGAGTCAATCCTCAGTGGCTGACTCACCCCCTTTCACTCTGATTGACTCCAATCAGCACAAAACGTGAGAAGATTTCTTCTTGGCTAAAAAGCTCCCCTTCCATGCTGATTGGGTGGCCCTAGGATGCTGGAAACAGGGACGCTGCTGGTACCCTACTGCATAAATTGTAATGGGTCTTCAACCTACTGTGATCGTTGGCCACTACACTTCTGGCCATTACCGTCTAAAAGGAGGGCAATTCCTCCTGCAAGATGATTCAATGAAAAGCCGAACATTTGCTGGTGTGCCATGGGTCCAATTCCCTAACAGCCTTCCTTGTTGTTTTTCCAGAGTGACCTTGGAAGATGTCGAACCAGAGTAACGGTGATACGAAACCTCCATGTTTACCTCGGAACGGACTTGTGAAGATTCCCGCCCAGGCCAATGGACTCGGCTCTGCCAGCATCACCAAAGGGACCCCAGCGATGAAAAACCGCTTGTGCCAGCCTTCATCTGTGCCTGCTCTCATCGGTCCAGCCTTAGCAAATCACAGCGACCTGCCCATCCCTGGCCTGGCGCCACCCTTGTCCTTGGCGGCTCTGGCCGGGGTGCCATCTCCTTCTGGAGCTGCCATGGTGGGACTGAACTCCAGCGAGGCTTCCCCGACAAACGGGGAGGTCACTTCCCTCGAAGGCCTCTCCGGTTCCCCCAGTGAACGGCAGCTGGCTGTGGACGAGAAGATCCTCAACCGCTTGTTTACGTACTTTTCCGCCTGCGAGAAGTGTGTCCTGGCCCAGGTCTGCAAGGCATGGAGGAGGGTCTTGTACCAGCCCAAGTTCTGGGTGGGCCTGACGCCGGTGCTACACACCAAAGAGCTTTACAACGTCCTGCCCAGTGGAGACAAGGAGTTTGTCAACCTCCAGGGTTTTGCTATCAGGGGTTTTGAGGGGTTTTGCCTGGTCGGCGTTTCTGACCTGGACATTTGTGAGTTCATCGATAACTATCCTCTGTCCAAGAAGGGGGTGAAATCCATGAGCCTTAAGAGATCGACCATCACAGACGCAGGCCTTGAGGTAGGTCTCCTGCACAGAGGAGGAAACTCAGGCCCAGGAGCCACAGACAGTCCTCCAGGTAGCCACACCCCCTTCTAGCCACACCCTCATCCCCCCAGCCACACCCCCTCTCCCCAGGCCACACCCCTTGCCAGTCGGACTTTATCGTCTGGGTGTTTTTGCCTGGCTGGAATGTGTCCCTGAACTCCAGTAATGCCTTTTGCTTGCCTGGATAGAGGATAGAGAAGGGTGTGTGAGTGTTACTTAGAAAGTAATTTTTACATGTGTTTCTCTATCCAGGGACATGGGTGGCGCTGTGGGTTAAACCACAGAGCCTAGGACTTGCCAATCAGAAGGTCGGCGGTTCGAATCCCCTCAATGGGGTGAGCTCCCGTTGCTCGGTCCCTGCTCCTGCCAACCTAGCAGTTCGAAAGGACGTCAAAGTGCAAGTAGATAAATAGGTACCGCTCCGGCGGGAAGGTAAACAGCGTTTCCATGCGCTGCTCTGGTTCACCAGAAGCGGCTTAGTCATGCTGGCCACATGACCCGGAAGCTGTACGCCCGCTCCCTCGGCCAAGAAAGTGAGATGAGTGCCGCAACCCCAGAGTCGGTCACGACTGGACCAAATGGTCAGGGGTACCTTTACCTAACCCTAGGTGACCTCAGACTACTACACCTCTGTCTCCACCTGATGCCCGCTGATCCCTGGCTTAGACGATTTCTAATGTCCTTTCCAGCTTTGCCACTCTATGATCCCCTCCCCCAAAATGAAATCTGTGTTTTCCCTTTCTCAGGTCATGCTGGAACAGATGCAAGGGGTGTTGCGGCTGGAACTGTCCGGCTGTAATGATTTCACCGAAGCTGGCCTCTGGTCGAGCCTGAATGCCCGCATCACTTCCCTGAGCGTCAGCGACTGCATCAACGTGGCCGACGATGCCATTGCCGCCATCTCCCAGCTGCTACCCAACTTGACCGAGCTGAATCTCCAAGCCTATCATGTGACGGACACGGCCCTAGCCTACTTCACTGCCAAGCAGGGTTACACAACCCACACCCTCCGCCTGAACTCCTGCTGGGAGATCACAAACCACGGGGTGGTCAACATGGTGCACAGCCTCCCTAACCTGAGTGTCCTCAGCCTCTCTGGCTGCTCTAAGGTGACGGACGATGGCGTGGAGCTGGTGGCAGAGAACCTCCGCAAACTCCGAAGCTTGGACCTGTCATGGTGTCCTCGGATCACAGACATGGCCTTGGAGTACATTGCCTGTGACCTGCACAAGCTGGAGGAGCTGGTCCTTGATAGGTAGGTAGAGAACTGAGCCCTCTTGAAGTTTCACAGAGGATGGGAGGGAGGATTGAAGTGTGATCTGCCGAGAAATGGCTATGCAGCAGTGGAGAAATATCTTGCCAGGCCTCGGCTGAGCTCAGAAACCAGGCCGTATAGATCAGTGGCAGAGCACCTGCTTGGCATGCAGAAGGTCTTAGGTTTGATACTCATCACCTCCAGGTAGGAATGCTTCCCCTGTCTGAAAAGTCTGGAGATCTGCTGCTGGTTAGTGTAGACTGGGGGTAGTCAACCTTTTTATACCTTTTATACCTACCGCCCACTAATGCATCTTTCTTGATGGTAAAATTTCCATACCGCCCACCAGTGTTCGATGGAAGGAGGATTCAGCTTCTATCACCCACCTAGAATCCTGAAACGCTCACTAGTGGGCAGTAGGTAACAGGTTGACAACCCCTGGTGTAGACAATACTGAGCTAAATGGCTTCCTACAACCCTAGGGCTTGGTTCTAGCACCGACACACAACAATCTGCAGCGGTTCTCAACCTGTGGGTCCCCAGATGTTGTTGGACTACAACTCCCATCATCCCTAGCTAGCAAGGCCAGAACTCAGGGATGATGGGAGTTGTAGTCCAACAACATCTAGGGACCCACAGGTTGAGAACCGCTGAAAGGGTTAGAAGCTAATGGTGCGGTTTAAAATGGGCTGGGCCTATTTCCAGAGGGGCAAAACAAGGAGAGACGTCTGTGCAGCAGTTTCTCCCCTCGTAACTCAAGGCTCAGGGGAAGCTGATTGCAGCAGAGACACTTGCTGATAGGGCAGAGTCAGAGCAGGCAAGGTGGGGACCAGGGGTGGCCCATAGCTCAGGGGTAGAGCACCTGCTTAGCATGCACAAAGTCTCAGATTCAATTCCCAACATCTCCAGGTAGGGCTGGGAATGCCCTCTTGCCTGAAACCCTAGAGAGCCACTGCCAGTCATTGTAGACAAGTACTGAGCTGGGTGGACCAGTGGCCTGATCGATACAATGAGGCAGCTGTCTATCTGCCTGCAATGCAGCTTGGTCACCATGAGACCAAGGGGTTTCCAGGGAACTGCAGTGCCTCAAGGAACAATCTTCTCGCCTTGATCTCCAAACACCTGTGGCTCATTTCCACTTGCTGCTGTAGATGACCCTGCTGGTGCAACGTCTTTATATGAGATTATGTTTCTAGCCCACCTTTCCTCCAATAAGCTCATGGTGGACTATATACTTCTTGTTTTATCCTCACAACCACCCTGTGAGGTAGGTGAGGCTGAGAGATGCTGACTGGCCCAAAGCCCACCAATGAGCTTCAGGGCTAATTTGAACCCTCTTCTTCTGTGTCCTGGCCTGGCATCCTAACAACTGCACCAGGCTGGCTCCAGTTATGCCAAGGCACTAATTGTCTCAGCTGCCTCCCCACCCATAACTTCAGGTACCAGTTGTGTGTGTAGCTTCTGATCTCTGGGCATCCGGAAAGGCCCTCCCCTCAGTCTCTGGACTACACAGTCAATGAAGCTTCTCTAATTCAATGCTGCCCCCTTGTGAGTTATCCTAGCACATGCAGAGAATCTGTGGGTCTCTCCAGACTGTAGCATGTGTATTCCACAACATGTGCTTGACACAATCATAGGGTGTTTGTGGTAAGTTTATTCTGCTTGCTTAGCTGTTCTGTGGTGCTTCTCCAATGCCACCACATTATTCCTGTACAGAAGTGCAACAAAAGTGAGGCAACGGCTCCCCACCCACCCCAGAACATTGTGGCATCTCCAGGTAGGAAACAACCCTGTCTGGAATCCTGGAGAGTCTTTGCCAGTTAGTATAGACAACACTGAGCTAGATGGACCAGTTGTCTGACTTGGAGTAAGGCAGAGTCCAATGATCCTATGAACATAAGAAGAGAAGAAGAAGAGTTTGGATTTGATATCCCGCTTTATCACTACCCTAAGGAGTCTCAAAGCAGCTAACAATCTCCTTTCCCTTCCTCCCCCACAACAAACACTCTGTGAGGTGAGTGGGGCTGAGAGACTTCAAAGAAGTGTGACTGGCCCAAGGTCACCCAGCAGCTGCATGTGGAGGAGCAGGGAAGCGAACCTGGTTCACCAGATTATGAGTCTACTGCTCTTAACCACTACACCACACAAATGCTAGATGAGACCAGTGGTCCAAGTCCAACATCCTGTTCCCCCAGTGGCCTACCAGATGCCTGTGGGAACTTGTGAGCAGGACAAGAGCACCCTCCTCTTTTGGAGCTTCCGAAAACTGGTATTCAGGAGCACAATGCCTTTGACTATGGAAGCAGAGCAAAGCCAACAAGGAAGTTGCAGGATATGTGCTACCTGGAAATGAAGCAGTATGGCTGCCCCAAAGGTTCTACGGGTGCAAACAGTCTTGAATGTAGGATCACGTGTGACCATCCCACAAACATCATGAGCACAAATAATCATGAATGCACAATAAAAAGGACACCTGAAAGAGACCTGTTTTGGGGTGATGGGTGCTCCTTAATCATGCCAGTGTCAACATGGCATTGTTGGCATCGAAATGCCAACTTTTGTATGCCCTCGCCACCAAGTTAATCTGGATTTACCTTTTTAGAAGAAAATCTGATTTTTAAAAAGCCTTTTGCCAATAACCCATGTGCAATTTCTCCAAGACCTGTCTCCAAATTTAAGTCCTCACCTGGAAGCTGTTCTGGATGTGGAGATGCCTTCTAAGTAGTCAGCTCAAAATGCACTTGTGCTTCTCCAGAATGGAGCTCTTATGAAGAGGGTTGGGCGACACAGTTCTGAAAGCTTCAAAGTGCACAGCACTGATTGGCTGTCCACTCTGACGTCACCGAGAAACACCCCCCTGCCCCATCCCCCAGGTTCCTTCCTTCCAGTACAAAATGCATAGCAATGCATACATGCATTTAATGCCTAGTCTAGTTTGGTCCTCTGACAACTGCTGCTGTTCATTTTATTGGTGTTTCATTAAAAATGTGGTGTCAATTTGTTTTAAAATGCACATTGCCCCGGTTTTCATGGCAACACATTTGGAAAGGCTGGAGTGTAGCCAACTAAGTTTTACTCAGAGTACATTCGTTGCAATTAATGGACATAACTCTGAGTAGAACTAACATTTGATACAACCTGATGGTTTTAGAAACTGTACCATCGAAAGGTCCCCTGCTTTCTCCCCCCCCCATACCTGCTGCTCCAGCTTTTTAAAAATTGTATCTAGTATTACTAATATTAAAAAATATGGTGCATACAGTATTTCAGCACATACAGTACTTAGTACATATAGGTATTATATTCATCAACAGCATCATACATCATATAAATAAAATCTATTGAATTATATCACACTGGCAGCCTCATATTTGGCTTCGCTAGGGAATTCTAAGGGGGAAAATATTGATTCAGTTTTGAAATCAGTTGTTAAGATCAGTACAGTTTTGAAAGATGTGGCCCGCCATCTTGATTCCAAATGGCTTCCAACTTTATCCAAACACAGATGAAACCTGCTCCTTGATTGAAGAATCCATCCTGCAAAATTGGGTTAGAATATATTAAGAGCTGTCCAGACACGGAGCAAACAGAGAAACAACTCTTCAAAAGATAGATATAGATTATATAGAATTATTTATTTATTTTATTTTATTTGTATTATGGTACATTTTCTAATATTCCAGCTCTCAAAATATGGAATCCATACATTACTCATCTCAGCATTAAAAAGGCATTTAAAAACATCAATTATACTGCTACTTTATATCAATAATAAAAAGGGACTGGGCAGTTGAGAAGTTCCCCCTTTCCCCTTGCTCCTATTGCTCATGCTTTCCTCCTAACAGTTGCGATTTTCCCAACTCTTCTGCAGGTGTGTGCGGATCACAGATACCGGGCTCAGTTACTTGTCCACAATGTCATCTCTTAGGAACTTATACCTCCGTTGGTGCTGCCAGGTAGGTAATATATAGGGCGGGCCCTACTAATAGACTGATGCAAGTGCCTCTGGCGGCAAATGTTGAGGGGCAACAGGGGCGGCTCTCCTCCTGACATGACTTTCTTTGTTAGGCTTGAAGTACAATTCAATAGCAGCTCTAGCCATCTTCTGTGTGTGGAAAGCAGGGTGGGATGCCACCTTGTCTTCAAGGGGCAAAATCTCTTGGGCAGTCCCCAAGAATCCTCTGGTAATGGGGAAAGAACAGCCTGGTTCCTTCAATCTGTTGGCAGAGGCTATAAAGAGGTTGGGGAGGTGGGAAAGATTCCAGGGGTCTCCCTTTAAGCAATCCCTGCTTCCTGCTCTCTCCCCCAACAGCTGGCAAGTGGTGGCAGCTGCCAGGTCAGTGGGCAAATGACAATATTCTGGAGCTTCAGGTTGTCCTGGAGCCTCACCTTTGGGGAGGTGAGTCCTCTATTTGAAGGACTGACAACGGTGATGGCTGGTGCCCATTGGGAGTAGCCAGAGCCAATGACAGGCACAGCCAACTAAATCTAGTTTTGTCTCCATCCTTTTCCCTGCTGAGTTCTACAAGGGCAACCACTGAGACTTAAGGAGGAGGAAGTTGACAACTAGTGCCACATCTTGGATGGGCTGTAGGTATGAAGGCAGACAGGTGGGGGCTGGCTGAGGGCAGACTGAGGCTGGTGGGACAGTGCCCTATTTTCCCAAATGGACCGGCCTCCACCGCTCCAATATTTCGTTGATGAAAATACGGACAGACATAGAGTTGGTCATCTGGTCCAATTTCTTTCTCAGTGTAAGATCTACAATACAGGATGCAACTGCGGTATCTTTGGGTAGGCCTCTGCTGCTAGATCTCAAGTCAACGAGAGCCCCCTGCTTCCTGAAGCAGAGTGTTCCACTGCTGAACAGCTCTAGCCATCAGGAAGTTTCTCCTAATGTTGTCATCTGCAGTAACAGAGAACCGGTCTGCTCCATCTTCCACCTAACAGCCATTCAGACCTTTCAAGGCCACCATTATGTCTGCCTAGACCAGGTGTAGGGAACCTTCTGCTCTCCAGTTGTTACCGAACTACAACTCCCATAATCCCCAGCATGCATGGCCAGTGTCCAGGGCTGATAGGAGCTGTAGTTCAGCAACATCTGAAGGGCCAAAGGTTGCCCCAGACTTCTCTAGAAAGGTCATTTCCATAGCTGTCAACGTTTCCCTTTTTTTAAGGGAAATTCCCTTACTCCGAATAGGATTCCTCACAAGAAAAGGGAAAAGTTGACAGCTATGGTCATTTCACAGTTGGCACCCGTGCCAATAGAATACCCCCATATTAGCAAGACTTCAGGTCTTAAAAACGAGCATAGTTAACAGACTTAACCCACTTGCTTCTCAAGGAATAGCAATTCAGGCTCACAAATCCTCCCTCCTTCTCTCCTGTTTCAGGTTCAAGATTTTGGCCTGAAGCATCTGCTGGGAATGAGAAGTTTACGCCTTTTGTCTGTTGCTGGTGAGAGCCAAACTAAGGGGAAATTTTCTGATGCATGTCATGAATCCATTTGAACCCACCACTTTGCTGAGAAACTCATTCATACAAATACTGTCACCACATTCTTTTGTGTGGGGTGGGGGCAGGGCAAAAGGAAAATAAGGGAAACTTTGGCTAGGGATTACACACTACCTCACCCTCTCCCCAGAGAGCTGAAAGTGGCAAAAGGGAATTGATAATACTCATTTCTTTGGTCATTTTACTTCAGAGGTGGGAAACCCTTTTCTGCCTAAGGCAGGCTTCCTCAACCTCTGCCCTCCAGATGTTTTGAGACTACAATTCCCAGCATCCCTGACCACTGGTCCTGCTAGCTAGGGATCATGGGAGTTGTAGGCCAAAAACATATGGAGGGCCAAGGTTGAGGAAGCCTGGCCTAAGGGCTGCATTGCCTCATGAGAACGACAATAATGAGCACAAAAATGCATACAACTGAGGTAAAATGTCTATTAAAACACTTATATTTGTGAAAATAATATTATAAAAATGCATTGTGTTCAAGGAAATGGCATACAAAAATGTGTAACCGGCCAAATTGCATAAAATGTGTATATTAGGATAAATTTGCACTAAAATACTGATGCAGTTTCATGCTAACTTTTTTAAAAGAATCATGAACTAGTGTGGAAATGTGGAGAACTGAACTTGAGGCTAGAGAAATGAGAAACCGAGAGAAACCAAAACTAACGAATTTGCGTGTCCCTAGGTTAGCTTCAGCTGAATTCAATGGGGATGACTTCTGAGGCCACATTAACACCACACATGTAAAGCACTATGACACTACTTTGAACAGGCATGGCTTCCCCCAAAGATTTCTGGGAGCTGCTGAGCGTTGTTAGGAGGCCCCTGTTCCCTTCCTGGAACTACACTTCCCAGAGTGGTTTCACAGTTAATCCCACTTTGCAGGGGGCTATTAAAAGTAGTATCAGAGTGCTTTAAATGTGACGTGTGATTGTGACCATTGTTAGCCTTGCTTGCTGTAAGTTGTGGTCATCTGAATGAGTTGTTTCTTGTTCATGGGGTGCTCTCTGATTTTGGTCTTTCCAGGCTGTCCTCTCCTGACCACAACTGGGCTCTCGGGCCTCGTCCAGCTTCAAGACTTAGAAGAACTCGAGTTAACAAATTGTCCAGGGGCCACTCCAGAGCTTTTCAAATATTTTTCCCAACACTTGCCCCGTTGCATGGTGATCGAGTAAGCCGCTCCCTGGAAGAATCTGACCATCGTCTGGAGCCAGGTCCTCCAATCCCAACCCAGCACTGACCAACCAATCAGAGTCATGGTTTTATTTATTCATTTAATATATCTATATATATATTTTCTTTTCCGGGAGAGATGCTGTGACTTATAAACTACACATGCACTCACATGTACACTGAGAGAGAGAGAGAGAGATCAACGCAACGTGTGGCAAATCATAAGCCAAGAGTTAGATCATGCGTATGGATGACCAGCGCACTTTGCATGTGCGTCCACGTCCCATGAAGCCGTGGCAGTGGCAACTTGGAAGAAATCCCTCCTCAAGTTTGTAAAATCCCCATGCCTCCATCACCTCCCGTCTTCCTTGTAGTGATCTGTCCTGAAATCTTAATTTTTGAAAAAAAATAACGATGCTTAAAAAAAACAAAAAAACAAAAAAAACAAAAACACAAATGAAAAACAAACAAAGTGGTATATGGAAAGAAACAAGAAACCGCTGTGGCAGATTGGCAAGTTGGTGGCAAAAGCTGCTGCCGCTCAGTGCTGGATCAAAAGTGGTTTCCGGCCAAGTGCTGGTGGGTAGAGGTTCGCCTGTGTCCCCCCTGCCCAGTTTTGGGTGGGTTGTAATGCAAGAATAAGGGGAGAGAGACCCCCTTGATGGCCTTCCCAGGTATGGATTCTGGATGGCCGAGCCTTCGGTTGAAACAGTCGGCGTCGTTCGAGGTAGAGGTGGAAAGCTGAAGAAAAGAGATAGAGGAAAGTCGGTTAAGGATGAATAATGGAGCGATTAGGGATGCGTGTTGGGTTCCACCTCTGGATTCCAAGAATGGGACGCTGCAACGAAGTGTTTATAGGAGGAGACAAGGGAGGGAAGAAAATGATAGAATAAGCAAACCGATCAACGCTGTGAAAGAAAGCCTTGTCCCTGTGACTCTTGGGAGACCGGGGTGGATGGGTGCTCCCACAGGCAAAAGCTGGTGTGTTGACTGTAAGTCATCTTCACATGAAGAGAGCAAACCAAGGAGCAAACGTTTCCCAGGAAATGGATTTAACAAACAGTCATCTGAACAATCCCGGCTGACCCTAAGGTCATGCCATGCTTGGCAGACAGCCATCTGCCTCCCTCTGGGTTTTTTAAGAAATTATTATTATTATTATTTTGCTAATGATGAAGGGTTTTTCCTCCTTCTTCTCTTCTTCCTCTCTTCGGAACAAACCCGCAGCTTTTGCATGCTCGCTTGCTTCCGTCTTGTGGTAAGGTAGACTCTGGATTTTGCTTCGTCTTGGGCAGGGCTGTGGGCAGCAGCCTTGACCCCGGGCTCGGCTTGTCTGTTCCAGTGTAAAGCTGCCGTGGCTTTGTATTTCCATCCACGTTCCATTTACTGATGCACAGGGATTTTTCAGCTGTGTCTTCTGCTTCCGCCCAGAGGAGATGGAGGCATCTCCTTCCCTGAACTTCCCGCAAACCACCCCCTTACACACAAGTTCCTTCCTTTCCTTACGCAACCCTGCCAACCGAAGTGGGCAATGCGGAGTAGGGGTGAGGGAGAGATTCGATTCAGTTTGTGTTCAAATACGAATCTACCTAATCCACACTTTCTGTAATGATACGCAAACCAAAACTACGGCCCTCCTTCGCACTTCTCTGAATTTTGCAATGCAGTTCCACAGCCAAGTAAATGCGCAAATTAAATATGCATATACTGGGGTGAAGAGTGCATAACAATGCATTTGTTAGTGAAAATAACGTAGGAAAATTCATTAAAGCAAGGAAAACTGCTTTGCAAAAAAAAAAAAGTGTATATTAGGAAGAATTCACACTAAAGAAAATACTGGTGAGTTTTCATGATGGCTTTTTAATGGAAGAGACGCCAACCGGTGTGGAAATGTGGAGAACTCAGTTTAAGACTGGGAAACTGAGAAACCAAAATAGATAGGTTTACCCATCCCTACTCCAGAGTCTATTGCCCTGCCCTCTCCTGGGTCAAGGATCGGGCTGGCCATTGCTTGATGATCCTTGACTTCTTTTTAAACATTGCTTGGTAGCTTTTCAAAGTCCTTTTGGGGCTCTGTTGGCCCTTGGGTGCTGGAGGGCAACCTCAATAACTCAGGCACTCCACTCCCAACCATCCACCTACCCCTGCTGCAAGCTACCATGGAGATCCACCCCAAAGAGGCGCAGCTAGCTACAGGATCTGGACAGGCACCTCTGAAGCAGCTAGGACGCGTTGTATCCTGGTGGTGGGATCTCCTGTCGGGACAGCTAGAGCCGCTGCTTTATTGATGAGCAATGCTCGCTTGCCATTGCCGCTCGCTCTAGCACCTGTACACACACACACCCTTCTGGCCGATTCACTGCTTTGGAAGGAAAGGGAGGAAGCTCGCCTCCAAACAGCAAAGGCTTCTCTCCTTCTCCTTTTGGGGAATGGTAGAAAGAGAAGCTACTTCCAATTTCACTGGATGGTGCAAGTGTGTGTCCGCAGGCTAACCCAAGTCGCCACGGTGGCAGTCCTGTGCACCCTTACCTGGGAGTAAGACCTGTTGGACATGGTGGGCCTTACTTCAGACTAAGCATGCTTAGGATTGCACTGAGGGATGTAAGCCATGATTTGTGCCGTGTATCTGCAGAAATGAGAGGAGGGATTTTTCAGGGAGGGCTCAGAAGACTTTTTCTGCCTCTCTTCTTGCATCTTGTTGCATGGGGCAAGTGTGTGCCCTCCTTGCGGGTTTTCCAGGTGTTTGCAGCCCTGTTTCCTTTTTCCACCCAGGCGGGACAAGCAAAGGGGCAGGAATGGATGCTGATCGCCTGTTGCGTCCTGTTCTTCAGAGGCAGAGAAAGGGGATGTTGCAAATGGTACACGCAACCCAGGCAACATTGTCCCAAAGGTTAGGGAAATGAGGTCTAAGCTCCCCTTAGTGGCTTTTGCCTGAATTAACCTGGCTCGCTTGGAAGTCCAACATCCAAAGCAACCACCTGCACTGCCTATTGCCGCCCTCCCCGCCTGGCGCTGGCTGGGGCTGATGGGAGTTGTAGTTTGAAACACCTGGAGTGTGCCAGGTTGATGATAGCTGACCTATTGCTCTGGGCCAGCCCCAGATATTTTACTACACACTGTGCCATTTCCTATTCATGGTGTTTTGGTGGCCTTCTCATTACGGTTTTGTGGTGGCAGGTCCATTAGGGCAACCTCAGTCTGCCCTCAGCCAGCCTTCACATGCCTGCCTTCTTTCTTACAACCAGTCCAGCAGGTGGCACTGCCTGTCAACTTCCCCCTTGTAGAACCCAGCAGGCAGGAAGATGGGGGCAAAAGTAGAACTAGTTGGCTCTGCCTGCCATTAGCTCTGGCGCCACCTACTGTTGACCTCCCTGCCTTCTGCCCCACCAGTCCCAATGGGCACCAGCCACCGCCAAACAACAATATTCCTCCAGTTTGTGGCTTGGAGAAACAGGAATGTGTGATGCCGAAGAAGCGGCCTCTGATTCTAATGTCCCCATCGTTCTTCCTGCAGCTAAGCCATCATCCCCAATACCAGCAGAAAGAGACCACAGGCACTGTCCAGCCCTACCTCTGTTGAGTCTTCCCAGCATTATCACTGCGCTGGGGCTTAATTTGAGCCGAGGATTCAGCTCCAGCACTAGTAATGCATTTTATATTGATACTGCTCACTAAAGGAGGACAGTCTCCCACCCCATCTCCCACTGCCTGCTCATCCCTCTCTCCCCACTGTACGACTATCTATTATTTCATTCATCTTTTAAAAGATGTACGGATCAAAGGTTTTCAAAAATATACAGAGCAACTTTCTTTCTTTCTTTTTGGCAGCTATGAGATTACTCACTGCCTTCCTCTCAGTTTTTAGAGCTCTGTTTAGGTTCAGTGTTATCCTCAGAGCTCTACTACTGCATGAAGTGGTCCCGGTGGGGTCCTCCAGGAGAAAGCCTGAGACTCTTTGCATCACACATAGCAAGCACTGCATTTGCCCGCCCTTTTCTAGTTGCAGAACCCCTCACAATTCTGTCCCATATTTATGGTGTTAACTTCGCTTCTCTTATCAGTAGCTTTCCCACATACCCTGCAAGCAGTTCCCTCTTCAAGGTTAACTGATAGGTCTGGTTTGCTACAGCCTCCTCCTCCCTTTAGCCCTCAAAGGCAGCAGCTCTTAGTCCTACGTTGAGCCCTGGCCTCTCCCAACCCAGCTGCACCTCCTCCTTATATATTGGCAGTGGAGGCTTGTCCATCATGGTGAGTGGGGCACCCACCCCAGTCTGCCCCCAGCCAGTCTCCACCCACCTACCTTCTTACTCACATGCAACCCAGGAGGTGCCAGCACTGTCTATTGGCTTCCTCCTCCTTAGTCTCAGTGTTGCCCTTGCAGAATGCATCAGGGAGTAGGAGGACGGGGACAAAACTAGAATGAGTTGGCTTTAGCTCTGCCTCCTGTTGGACTCCCCTGATTTCTGCCTCACTAGTCCCCGGTGGGCACCAGTCATCACTGTATATTGGCAGGGGAGAACAGAGGATGAACAAGCTCCAGCTGGTGCCTTCTCAGAACATTAAACCTTTCTCCCCAGCTAAAGGTGTTTCCAGATGGGTGTTTCTTGTGGGATCTGGAGCTCTTCATGCATGCAGGAGTCCAGACAGTGTTACCGACATCAACTTGCCAGCCCATATTTAATTCAGCTGTACCTTTCTGGTGAAAACCCATTAAGTAAAAACCAAACCCATTGCCAATGACCCATTTGCAATATCTCAATGGCTTGATTATTATAAATTAAACCCTATCGAGAAGACCCTGAATCTCCTCAAAAGGTATAATGGAGATTTTCCCAACTTAGCGCCTTCCAGGTGTTTTGGACCCATCAGTTCCATCCAGCACAGCCATTGGGAGTGACTAGTAAACCAACCAAAGTAAAGGTTGATGGAGTCTACCTAATCTTTCCTTCTCACAGTTGAGAAAGAGTTCCCATGTGTTCCTGGAACTCTGGCTCGATGGTTATAAATTCAATGGCAATTCGTGTGTGTTTTGATCATCCTTGGCCAGGGATCTAACTATGTCTGCAGATCTCCTTAGCAGAACTAGAGTGCTTCCTTTCTTTGTGGATTTCCCAGAAATTATCTCAGAGGTTCTGGACTACAACCAGCTGGGTTTGATGGAAATTGTAGTTCAAAACTTCTGGATGGCACCATCCATAACGGCTGATTTAGAGGAAGGTTATATCCAGTTATTCATTCATTCATTTTAAAAAAAGAATCATTTGCATTTTTCAAAAAACAAATAAATAAGGAAAACCCTCTCATGCAGCATTTCATAACACCCTGCTTGTTTGGATAAAGACATAAGGTAAAATAAATATGAGATTAACTGAGAGCTAGTAAACCTGTGGCCCTCCAGATGTTGTTGGACTGCAACTCTC